GCCTTTCCATTCATCCCAGGGAGTGTAAAAAGCAGAGCTACTGACAAAGGAGAATCACAACTGAGAAAGAGTTCTTTGTACTGAAAGCAATGCCTCAAACCTCTTCTTGTTTTGTTTTGTTGCTTTAAAACAACATCCTTCCCGGGATCTTTTATAATTCCCTTCCTTCCTTTGTTCCTGCCTTCAATGTCAAATGCTGCATTATAGCACTGAAGTATTTATACATAATATTCTGCAGTTTTAAAACAGCAGATTACGTTTGTCAGTATTGATGTAGTTCTGTTTCTCCTGCACATAAAACATATAAATAGAGCATGCTCACATAACATTATTTTCATCTGGTTTTAATTAAATATGTGGCTTTTTTAACAGATCCAACACATGTACCGTTGTGCTCGAGTTCAAGGTCTAGACACCAGTGAGGGTCTTCTCCTCTTTGGTAAAGAGCACTTCTATGTGATTGATGGGTTTACTATGACTGCTACCAGAGAAATACGAGATATCGAGACACTACCTCCCAAGTGAGTTAACCCGGATATTTTTTTATCTTAGAGAAAAAAATGTTGACTTGATTTGTGAGAAATCTTAAGTGTAAGGCTGTAACTAGGAAAATCAACTGCTATTGTTAAGTGCAACTTGGAAAATACAGTTGTGCCTGAACAGAAATGTAAAACCCTTTTGTCCTCTTAGTTGTGCAATCACATCTTTGATAGTTCTCATAAAGGCAATGTAATGAAATGTGGTAGTAGAAAATGAGTGGAAAAGGTAAGAGTTACTGACACAATATATCCCTACAGTTTCAGTCATCATTCTCACCTTTCAATTCTCACAGTATGCATGAACCAATTATACCCAGGGGAGCACGGCAGGGTCCAAGTCAACTCAAAAGGACATGCAGTATTTTTGCATATGAAGATATCAAGGAGGTGCATAAAAGAAGATACCTGTTGCAGGTGATGTACATTTTGCTTATACTGTGGGAAAACAGAGTTCATTAAGTAGTGGAATCTCCTTTATTTGGTATGTAGGATCCTACAGATAGGACAAAAAATTTTAATAAACCTTCAGTACATAGTATACGTTGCAAGAAGTAATAGGAATAATTGTAAGTCCCTTAAACAAGCAATACCCAGTGTGATGTAGTGGATAGAGTGACAGACTAGGACTCAGAAGGCCTGGGTTCAAATTCCTGGTGTGTCATGGGAACTCACTGGAGGACTGGAGCTGATAACACCAGTCCTTAAATATCTCACCTTGAAAGCCCTGTTAGGAGTTGATATAAGTCAGTTCCGACAGCATGTAAGAACAAACAAACAAAGAAAAGGCCACACTTTCTTTTGTCATCTGGGTAAAAAACAAAACAAAGCCAGGTCAGGGTCAGGCCTTGCGAAGGCCCACAGCAGTTTCCTTCATCTTGGCAGGTTTTTCAATCTCAGCTGTTTCATTGCAGCCAATTGCTGTTGAAGTATTCTCAGGAGACGGACGCAACTACCTGCTTGCCTTCCAGAAAGGAGTGAGAAATAAAGTCTACCAGAGGTATTGCAAATTGATCCTTAATTTACCAGTTAACAGAACAAGTGTATTCTCTTTTTTCATTTTGTTTTGTTTTGTTTTGTTGTTCTCTTTATGGACTGTTTTTCATCTTTTAACAAATATTTGCAGTTTTAGATGTTAGAAACCTGTAATTTGCAATTTTCAGTATGTATTTTTCTGAAGGCCATGAGGTATGCAGGCTGTTGTGAAGGTAGGTGAGATATAAGTAAAAAGAAAGAAGGAAAGAAAGAGTGAACAATCTTTAGATACTGCAGTAAATAAAGTCCCAGGCTGACGAAGGATTTGTAAAGGAAATTTCACCTTAGTGTGTGCCTTATATTCATCTCATTGCTAGACCTGTCTTCCTGGCACATCTATAGTTATTGAGAGCTTTGCAGGCTTTTCTGCATACCAAGTTTCTGTTGAACTATACTTACCATGATTTCCAGCCTGCCATGTTTGATATCAGTGATCAGAATTTTATTGTGACACATATGGAGGTTTGCCAGATTGGGAAGTATTCCAAAAGTTTTTCATAGATGAGATGAAGACGTGATAGGAGATGGAATCTAATGTTTAGAGCAGACCCATTGAAATTAAGAGGTTTCAGGTTAGTTGGAAGTACTGAATTGGGAATTAAATTGTATTGTTTCTGATTTGCATTGAAAAGCACACAGTAATTCCTTTCCGAATTCCAATACTAACTATGCTGTCCTTTTGTCTCTGCCATCTCTCTGCAGAAATATATGGTGTATGTTTTTAGTAGCTTCTTTTTCATTAGGGGTGTGTGTGTGTGTGTGTGTGTGTGTGTGTGTGTGTGTGTAAATAGAAACTGCTCTTATGAATTCTATAACAGTCTGTCAGTAGCCACCATATGGAGCTGACTGGAGTTTATGTACTTGGCTGATTGTCTTCTCCTTTTAATTTTTAAAAGGTTTCTGGCTGTAGTTCCTTCTTTAACTGATAGTTCGGAGTCTGTGTCTGGACAGCGACCCAACACCAGTGTAGAGCAGGGGTGAGAATTTGCATTTTTTAAAATTCTGTGCAGTAGATTTGGATGAGCTGAAGTTTGAATGAGTCTTATGGAAATGCCAGCAGCCTCTTTTCATAATATGGCAAGTAAACTGGGCAGTTTGCAGTTAACTTTAGTATCCTGGTTCATCTGAACCAGAAAACTGTTTTTGTCTGCTTCAGAATAAGCAAGGCTATGAAGCTGTGGTTTGAAGTTGGCTCAGTAGCCTTTCTTGTTCTAAAACCATTAGTGACAGTTTTGCAACTCAGAAAAAGAAAACAGTAATTAAGCTGTTAAGCCAAAATGTGATTTTTGGGATGTAATCAGTGTTTATTCTGATGCAGGTGTCTTCTGATTCCAGTATTTCAAATTGTTGAACTCAGCACATTTTACTGTCCTTATATCTGGTTTTCATTTCTCTGTATGCTAGCAAATATAATTTAGAAAATAAGAAAAATGAAATCCTTCTAAAATGGTATAGATACTCATTTTTTGAAGTAGTATTGGGGGAAAACCCATTTCCCGTAAGAAATCAGTTTCTCTTTCAAAGCTTCTTGATGGGTTCAGTATTCCTAAGAGGTAGGGGCCATTCACATATGAAGGATTATTCTCGTCATATTGTACAGTATTTTGTTTCTTTCTATACATTGGTTGCAATAAACTAAAACTAAACTAAAAAGTTTTACTAAACTAAAACAAACAAACAAACCATCTACTGGATGAAACACAAAGCTGATGGTATATTTCCTACATGTGTATTCTGCTCTTTTTTTCCCTATGAGCTCAAGAGGGGGTTATGCAGAGTTATCCCATTGGATCTCCCCACCAACTCTGAAAACAGGTTCAACTACTGTAATCTTCCAGTGAGAGTAGGGATATGAGCATTCTGTTTTCCACATAACACTGGCTCTAACCAAACTTAATGAGGAAATTTCATCTTGTACAGACCTTCTGTATGTGCCCAACTATCAAGTGGATAGTTTAACAGATACAGTATGTGTTAGATTACTCTCTGTTAGGTGGCTATTGATATGAGTATGTGGTTGCTAGTCCACAGCTATATGACACAGCTTTGGGGAATTCTTCATGCTTTAATGATATTAGATCAGGTTAGTCAACTGTATTGCACTTTAGTTATATGAAATCATTGATATTGTTCTTAGAACATGCTTCTGAATGCAAGAATATTGCTTTTTCCTGATTCCATTAGGTCTGGCTTGCTAAGCACCCTAGTAGGAGAAAAATCTGTGACACAAAGGTGGGAGGTAAGAATGAATCATTATTTACTTTCTCCTTCATAATAGGTTGATACAGAATATTTGAGCATATCATTCTGAAATCTATTCTATAAAATTTAGTTCAATATTTTATGAAAGAGTAGAAAAATTATATATTTGTTATAGAGAAATGAGTTCAAATACATTGCATTTTGTGTTTTCTCTCTCAAAGAGAGGTGAAATCAGCAATTTCCAGTACCTGATGCATTTGAACACTTTGGCTGGCCGTTCCTATAATGACCTCATGCAGTATCCTGTTTTCCCATGGATCCTTGCAGACTATGATTCAGAGGTAATAACAAAATATTCCGATGTGATACTTGACCATATCAAAAAGTTTTGTATCTTACAAGACAGGGTTCTGTTTTTGGAAGCCTGCATTTAAAGAGATCCCAGATCACAGCATGACACCGTCTGCCAACTTACTATTTCACCTGATACTTAGGAATTTATAATAATAGTTCAATTCTGTCCTGAATTTTGTGACCAGGAATTTCTGGGATTGTTGATTAATTATCTTGAAATACAAGATGACTTAATTCGACAAGGCATGAGTCTTGCTGTGAGTCCCTTCTGAACTGTTTTTGGTCTGAGAGCCTCATCACAGAGAATGTCAGAGATCATGTGGAAGTTGAGTCATGGCAACTGGACTTCTTTCTTATTAGGTTGAAACGTTTCGCTACTCATCCAAGAAGCTTCTTCAATCTGAGGAGATCCCTGATATATCCTCCGTGTTGGTTTCACTTCCCCCTGATCTGAATAGTCTCCTTAGATGGACTAGGAGTGAGTTAAAATCCCACTTCTGCTATGCTCCACTCATTGTTATGGATCGTTAACGGTCATTAACGGTGATCTTTCTGGTGGGCATTGTCCTGATCTTTCTAGGGATGGATGAAAGAGCAGCATAAGAAATAGGAGACAGATTGTATCTCAATTGAGTGCGGGATTTTCTATATGCATGTGTATGGTCTCCCTGACCCCTGTTTCAAACCACTGATCTTCTTGGTCCAACATGCGTATATCTTGGTCATTAAATGAGTGTCCTTTGCCCTTCAAATGTATTTATTTATTTATTTTTATGAAGGAACACCTCTGATTATGATCCTGAGCCATTGCCCCTCCTGTTTATAGTGACTGTTTGATTTCTCCAGCGTAGAGCTCCGAACACTCCTCTTTGCATTGGACCGCATATACTATATTTTTCCTGTCTTTTGGGTGGACGAGGCTCTGCCTTAGTGTGTTTCTGGGTTTGAAGTGCAAGGGTTTGTGGTATTTACCAAAAATCCTTCAACCTGAAGAAAGAAATCCAGTTGCCATGACTCAACTTCCAGATAACCTCAGCTGGATGACTGAGAATCTTCACAGTCAGAGATCATGGCGCACGCCAAAAAGGTCTTTTTAAAAAAAAATCTTTTAATGGATTTTCCAAAGTGTTTTTCATTGTGTTTGTGTAATATGCCTCTAGTCACTGGAAAAAAATAGTGAGAAACCAGTTCTGGTAACTTTATTATTAAAAATAAATATACATTGGGATTATTGTTTTAATAGTTTTAATATTGTCGGACCATGGATAAGTGAATTAGCAGATAAGGAGGTCCTACTGTACTTGCTCAAATACGGTATTACATTTTTAAAGTTCATCTGTGTATAATTCATGAATAAATGTTTCAGAGGAGACACTTAGTAGGCTGCAAGTTATATATAGGCAATAAGATAAGAAATATTTGCTGTGTAAAAAAGGGGGGAATCTCTTAATTTTGTCCTCTTGGACCATTTTGATTGACAGAATAATTGGCAATATATTTAAAAGCCAGGATCTAAATCTATTAGAGGAATTAAGGATCGTTTTGTATGTAATTGCATCATTAGTTGACGAAATACATTTATTTGAAATAATATTAGTTTCTCATTTAATTTTAAAGGAATTAGATTTAACCAATCCAAAGACATTTAGAAACTTGGCGAAACCCATGGGGGCTCAGACTGATGAGAGGTTAGCTCAATATAAGAAACGTTACAAAGACTGGGAAGATCCTAATGGTACGTGGTTTCTGTGCGAACTTTTCAAAAAGAGCGCTGTTTTAATCATTGGTGGACCTACATTTTTGGGGCCCTGAAGCTTGAACTGTCATGTTGGGGAGGGCATTTCTCAGCCAGCAACAAGGTTTGGGTAACCACTGCTATTTTCTTCAATGGGGTTGTTCCTTGACAGATCAGACAGTTGCCTTCTAAACATTAATAGGGGAGGGGGCAAGTGTAGCTAACTAGTTCCATAAAGTTGGTGCCATCGCAAAGAAAGCCCGACTTCTGGGCTTCCTTTGAAGTGGCCACTCGGAGGAGCAAAGCCTGGGAGGATCTGGTGGGTTAGACAGATGACATGGGGAGAGACACTCCAGGTAGTGTGGTTCTAAACCGTGAAAGGCTTTCCCTCAAATATTATTCTCTCATGCTATCTGTGAAACTGGTTGTTAGTTTGTTCCACATATTTATGAGAGAAGTACTGGTGGTCAGACTCCTATGTGTGATTTATGCGTGCATCTGCTAAATTGTGTCATTTCTTGTGTCAAATCGTGACTCACTAATGAGCCACTGTCTGAGGCACATACCTGATTGTACAACATGGGTATGTCTCGTAATGCAACCATTACCTCATTAGTGGCACATGCATAAATCACCAACAAGGTTCTGCTCAGTATTTATTATCCTAGGATAGCTTATGCTTTGGTCTGATTTTCTGAAAACTGGAAATCCAGCCATGTGTTTTTTGTTTTACTGTTTGGGGCACTGAGGGCATCCTTGTTTAGGAAAATTCCTATGGTAGGTTCGAGGAACATCTCTTGATATTGATCCAAGCTGTTAAATCCAGCCTGTTTCATCAATTTTTAGAAGTGTTTCACCATCACATCACTTGATGAAGACATTAAAGAGATGAAAAATGAAAACATTTTTAAATGGCTAAGTGCAAAATGTTGCCGTGCAGGTTTTCCTCAGTAGATCACTGTCAAAATACGGAATTATGTTACTGTTTTAATTTGGTAAATACACATTTCAAATGAGGTTGGTGTCATTACAGCATGGTAACGTGAAACCTGTTTGTTTAGTGCAGACACATTGTCATAGGCATTTTGTTCTTATTTCATTTTGTTTACTTCTTATTTTTATTTTATATTTTCCAGGAGAAACTCCAGCTTATCATTATGGTACCCACTATTCATCTGCAATGATAGTAGCTTCATACCTAGTGCGAATGGAGCCCTTCACACAGATCTTCTTAAGGCTTCAGGTAAATATATATCAATGTATTCTTGAAGGCTTTCACGGCTAGGATCTGATGGTGGTTGTGGGTTTTCCAGGCTATTTGGCCATGTTCTTAAGGTTTTTCTTCCTAACCTTTTGCCAGTCTCTGTGGCCGGCATTTTCAGAGGACAGGAGTCAGAACCTATTGTTTTCATTTGAGAAATACAATATTATGTACGGCTGCTTCAAAGGGTGGTGGACTCGTTCATTTGAGGTTTCCAAAGAGAGATTACATGGCCCCCAGCCAAAAATGCTCTCGCTGTGGATTTTCTCCTTTGGAAGACGGTTGATTCAGTGACACTTGGGCTCCCTCTAGAGTTCTAGGATTCTTCATAGCTTTGTTCTGCCACCTGACAGGCATGATCTGTATGCATGTAACAGGCATTTTAAGATATGTGAGATGTTCAAGGATGGCCTTACATTTGCCGCCTCTCAGTGAGTGAGTGACGTGATAAAACTTTTCTTGCATACCAAAAAGTACCAAGGTTCCTAAAAGTACCAATTTCTTGATAATAAGTGGGATGGAAAACTTGCACTACTTGTTGCATGCATTTGCTGTGTCATGCAAATCATTTCAAATTTGTTTTGGCCAAATAATACCAATTAAGTAAAAAACATGGTAAAATGTAAAAAAATTAGGCAAAACACCAAAGCCTAGTGTTACTTTGAAGAATAACAGTTTTATTTGGCATACATTTTGGGGATTTTTCCTCAGATGTGTGTATGTTTTTTTCATTCTAGTAGACTATCATGGCTACTCCACTGGCGTTTGGGGGGGCTATCCACATGCTCTAGTTCTTCTACCACATATTAGTTTTTATGAAGGAAAGAAAAGAGGAAAAAACATTTACACTCATGGAATCTAGTTCTATATCTGAATTATCTGACATCTAGTACGCAGACTTCCAGATTTGTGGATCTATTGGTTTTTTCAATTATCACATTCAGTAGAGCTTGGAAAAGTTAACTTTCTTGGACTACTGCTCCCAGAAACCCCCAGGCATCATAAGTAGGGGATGATGGGAGCTGCAGTCCAAAATTGCCATTCTAAGCTCTGATATGACATCTTTATTGTATAGATTTAACTAGTTTTAGCTCTCTAAAAGCAATTCTATGTTGCTCTAGTGTTCACACTACCTTGGGAGTAAACCTCACTGAACTCTGTGGGAGCCTCTGAGTAGACTTGTATAGGATCACAATGTTCATCCCAATTTTTCTGACTAATTTGTGACTGGATGGTAAAAGTCATCGCAGTAATGTATTCAAAATTATTTTCTTAACCTGCAGATGATCAGCTCTTTATTTTCTGATCAGCATGTCAACCTTAACCACTAAAAATGTATGGGTATTCCGTTGTTTGTTCCAAGGCTGAAAAGACCAGCGCAGAGAATGTGATAGCAGCTTAGAATGATGAAATTCCCCCTTTCCTTCCACAGGGTGGCCACTTTGACTTGGCTGACAGAATGTTCCACAGTGTGCGAGAAGCCTGGTACTCTGCATCCAAGCACAACATGGCAGACGTCAAAGAGCTGATCCCCGAATTTTTCTACCTCCCAGAGTTTTTGCTAAATTCCAACAACTTTGATCTAGGTGAAAATAAATAACTTTTGATAACATTTCCCTTCCTTTTGTAGGCACTGCTCAAAGATAAACATAAGACAGGCTGGCTGGTGTGTTCTAAATAAAGATCTTGCCTGAAAGCTTAAGAGAACAGGTATATGATTGAGATCAGAGCTGAGCACAAAGCAGATCTGCTGTAGGTCACTGGTTTGTGTGCATTCATTTGGCAAGCCTTTCTGACTTGCAGCACCAAAACAACTCTTTATGAGCCTGGCAGGGTGTTAAGATCATTGGGGGAGACCTTTCTTTCAGTCCAGTCTCCCTCGTAGCTGTTGCTTGGTGGGGACAGAGGGCAGGGCCTTCGCTGTTGCTGCTCCCACACTCTGGAACTCCCTCCCACAGGAGGCCAGGCTGGCCCCATCTTTGCTGTCCTTCTGCAGACAGGCAAAGATCTTTCTCTTCGGGCAGGCTTTTCTTTAGTGGCTGACTGCCTAGGAGACAATCAATGGGATGGTTTACATTTTTTTAGAAGAAAGATGGAGTAAAATTATTATTTTTTTAAAATCCTCTCTCCTCCCACACTCTGGAACTCCCTCCCACAGGAGGCCAGGCTGGCCCCATCTTTGCTGTCCTTCTGCAGACAGGCAAAGATCTTTCTCTTCGGGCAGGCTTTTCTTTAGTGGCTGACTGCCTAGGAGACAATCAATGGGATGGTTTACATTTTTTTAGAAGAAAGATGGAGTAAAATTATTATTTTTTTAAAATCCTCTCTCTGCCCTAAACAATTTTTTTAGAAGAAAGATGGAGTGAAATTATTATTTTTTTAAAATCCTCTCTCTGCCCTAAACTATACTGCTTTAAGGACAAAGGCCGGGGTGTGACCAGAAGGAGCGTGTGCTCTTAACACATTTCTCATATTAAAAACAGATGGCTAGACTCGGTAGGTACTGAGAGGTATTATTCTTTAATTCTAATTGTGTGTCTATTTTTCTCATCCAACTCTGATGAGTGGATGTTGACTAGCCATAAAACAAAGTAAAAACATTGTACATCTAGCAAACCTGAAGTCCGTCTTCTGATACTAAACCGAGAGATGGAATTGTGATTTAAACTGCCTGTGAATAATAAGGAGTATATTTAAATACAGAGCACTTTTTTAGGTAAGCAAATTAAGCTGTAGCATTTAATTACAGTAGGACCACTGTATCAGCTGGATCAGTACTTGCCTGAAAATATTAAATAAAACCCTTCAGAAATACATCTTTCCAAAGTGTATTTCCAGAACCCGGCATTAAAGGAACCAGAGACTATCCTGTAGTATTACGTTTCTATTACAGGGCTTTTCGGGGTGGGGGGGCTTGGATGCTTTGGTCCTACTGTACTTGAATAGTTGTTTTACTAAAAAAAATTGCTGTTGTCTCATAGGTTGCAAACAGAACGGCACTAAACTTGGGGATGTAATACTCCCTCCATGGGCCAAAGGGGATCCTCGTGAATTCATCAGAGTACATCGAGAGGTAGTATACTATTGTTGTAAAATAAAAAACTAAACTGTAATCTTTTGTTCAGTTTTTGCATTTTTATTTGGGAGGAATAACATTTTTCCTGTTTTAATACTTCGTCCTTTGTTTCCTTGGCACATATTTAATAGATAGACCACAAATTAATTGTGCATTTTTCTCTGGTAACCATGTTGGTAGAAAAAGCTTACTGTGGCATGTCTCCTGTTTCACCCAATGGGATAGATAGTCTGTTTTCACCCACTTTAGTCAGGTAACATATTCTTTATTTAATGTGCACATTTTGCATTATACAGGCTTTGGAATGTGACTTTGTGAGTGCACACCTTCATGAGTGGATTGATTTAATCTTTGGATATAAACAGCAAGGGCCTGCTGCAGTGGAAGCTGTAAATGTCTTCCATCATCTCTTCTATGAGGGACAAGTGGACATATACAACATAAATGATCCATTAAAAGAAACAGCTACCATAGGATTCATTAATAATTTTGGGCAGATTCCCAAACAGGTAATGTATGCAAGAAAAGTTTCGGTTTGGATTTGCCAGAATTACAATACTGACATGTTCATTTACTCATCTTTTTGCTTAATACTTTTGTATCTCTTAATTCCTGCTGTTCAGTGCCAGAGGACTCAATTTCTAGATGCTGTCATTGTAAAGGGAGGGAAGAGAAGCCAGGAGTTTGAATATAATTTCCAGGGTTTTTGATCTTCTTGTTTTCCATCCAAATCATTGATACTTAGACCGAGTATATTTTTTATAGTTAAATAATTAGGAGATTATTCATCAGATGAACAGTGTGATAAATGTTTTGGAATGGGAACACCCTAATGGCAGGAGAGGGGAAAAGGCTGGAGTTGGAAAATCTTTTAATTCACATTAATATGAGCTTGCCTTTGGGATATTGCATACAGTGGACCCTCTACTTAAGGAGTTAATACATATTGGAATGGTGGCTGCAAGTCGAAAAGTCTGTAAGTCGAATCTCCATTGACCTACAATGCACTGAAAACAGATTAATCCCATAACCAGTGGTTTTTATTCTATTTTTTTTTCCATTTTGGTTTTTTTCTGGTCTGTAAGTCGATTCTCTGGCTGCAAGTCGAATCTAAATTTTGCAGCCAGAGAAGTCTGTAACTCAGAGTCTGTAAGTCGAGCCGTCTGTAAGTCGAGGGTCCACTGTATTAGATTGTATAAAGTATAACTGTAATAGGAATAACTGAATGGTAACTGTGTGAATCAGAGGCAAAATTTGGAAAAATTACTTAGTTGGACTACAGTTTGCAGAATTTCCCAGCCCGAATGGTGGCTGAGAGTTGTAGTCCAAAAAAAGAAAAATGGCTAGTATGCTAACTGAGGATTTATGCCAACATAAGTGCAATAGTGGTGGCAGAGTTCTCCTAATTAACCAAGTGACACGTGTATTTCTGTTTACATGCAAGTTTCACAGCTTGGTGCATGGCTAGGTGTGTGAGCAGCAACTCGTTAATCAGTGGGAGTTCACTGCTAGAGTTTACACAATTTCACCCAGTGCTGGCATAAATCCACAACAAGATTCTGGCCACTGACTCTTCTTATCTTACTTCAGAGATCAAAAAGAGATTCTCATCTTTCCCTTTGTTTTTACATGTTATATATAGGACTTCGGGTCTGAAATGCCTCCTATGGATTCCCCATGGAAATGAACGGGAAATAACTCCAAGAGCCTAGGATAATCTTTTAAATGTATTTTGCCCATAATGTTTTACAGGAGTGAAAAACAACAGGAGTTCTGAGGCTGTAAATTGAAGATTTAAAAAAAGAAACACAAACTCAAGCTAGTCATGCTACATAGCCAAAATATAAGGTGGTTGGCAGCCTGCAGAATAACTCATGCTTTAAATTTTGCTGTTGATAGGATTCCAGGTGGCTCTGCAGAACTCTCAGGAGGGTTCTCAGAATCAAGATTAACAGATTTTTAAAAAGAAGTTTCTCAAAATTAGAAAAAAAAACCCCACCAAAAACATAGGAACACCAGTTAGCCTTCTTCCACAAACCCTCCCTGATATGTTTTACCCACCTTCTAGAAGCTAAAATATATCTGATCTGCCAAGCTTTTGTCATTATGGAGAGAGTACCTTTTCCCAGACTTCTCAATGCTGTCATCTGTTTTGAGAAGCATCCAATTTCATCCAGTCTCTGAGCCATTTAAGGGGCCCCTGTAATTGCTTTATGTGACTTTGGGTGTATGTAGTGACACTGGAAGTGGTAAACATTGGAATTTTGATGATTCATTGTCACATGGTGAGCTGAAGTGATTGAAAACAGCTTGTGTGTTCCATGTGATGGTGAAGTCCAGTTCCCCACCTACTCAGACTGTTAATGCTATTCTTAGGAAACCTTGGACAATCAGATGCTGTGATTAAAATAAAGTTGATGCAGTAAATGAAGTTTTAATGAATGCAATCTTTACCATTTGACCAAAATAACTTCTTGAATTCTCTTCATAAAATCCACACGAAATGCAGCTTCCTTTCTTATATTCTTATAGTCACCGTTGGTTATGGAAATTAGAATTAATTTAACAAAATGGCTTTTCAGGACTGTAGTATTATGGTATCCTTACCTTCAATGCTATTGAGTGAGCTGCAAAAAGGATAACAAATGGAAGCAATCTTCAAGTGCTTGATCTGCTACAAGCTGATCTCTGGCAAGCAACAGAGATACAAAATGCAGGGCAGTCCTTACCACCGTTTGTCTTGTCAATAATCTGACAACAGTGGCAAAAATGGCATAATAAAGCATTTCTGAGTCTCGAGGATGGTGTTGTCATACATTGAAAAGTGTTGCTAAAAATTACCCAGGCTCTCTCGCCTCTGAGCCTGTTATCTTCTCTCATACTGCAGTTGTTTAAGAAACCTCATCCACCAAAGCGAGTGAGAAGCCGAATTAATGGAGAAATTAGTGGAGTTTCTGTTCCACCTGGTGCTTCAAGCGACAAGATCTTTTTTCATCATTTAGACAACCTCAGGCCTTCTCTTGCTCCTGTGAAGGGTAAATGAAATTATTTTGCTTACTCTAGGTTCTTTCAACTGTGTTTGTAGTCTGAGCTTTTTGCTTTGTATTATGAAAAATGTATATGCCAGCCAGCTCCAGAAAGGGCCTTCAAAATCTCTTTATAACAAAACAAAGTGAATTGAAACCAAAGGAAAGTGAAACAATCTAACTTCCTTTGGTTAGACAGTATATTAGAATTAATAGATTAGAATCCTATGTAAATACACCTTGAACTTTCAAACAGTTTTCCCCTGCCAGTGGCTATGCTCTGTATGTTGCATTCAGACAGGTTGTTATACTCCTACAAAATTATGGAGTGTGGATAATCCATTTTTCCATTTGTGTGGTACAAACCAATGCAAGTAAAGCCCAACCCCTGCATTGGGTTGTACTTCCCTGGAGCGCTGTTTGGGATATCCTTTGATACGGATTCCTGCGTTGAGCAGGGGGTTGGACTTAATAGCCTTCTAGGCCCCTTCCAACTTCATGATTCTGTGATTCTATGATTACATCCAATGGAAAACTCAGCAGTGAAATTGATTTCCCCCTTATACACAACCTCTTTACAGTTACATCTGTGTCTATCTAACTGTAGCTTTAAGGATACATCTGCAAGAAGCCAGCAACTGGGCTTTTTGTGTACCACTGATATTCAGACAAAACATCTAACCTACAAACTCTGATTTACTTCCATATCTGATGACTTATTCTGGGATTGTGCAAATGCTTTCAGGATTAGAAACCAACCTTCTGTTACACTGCGGTTCCTTGTTGGCCTTTTTTTTTGTTCTCTTTTGGTTAGCGAAATGTATGTTGTCAGTGGCAACTGGAGGTCTGAAAGTCCTTTCCTCACAAGGAATTCAATAATAGAGGGTTTGTATTCTCAAAGGCTTTCACAGCCGGGATCCGATGGTTATTGTAGGTTTTTTGGACTGTTTGGCCATGTTCTGAAGGTTTTTCTTCCTAATGTTTCGCCAATCTCTGTGGCTGGCATCTTCAGAGGACAAGAGTTAGAGCTCTGTCTGTGTTCTGGTGTAGTGTAGTTGAGTTTTTGTAGCTGTGGGATCAGCTTTTTGTCCTTTTCAGGTGATTGGGTGATTATGGGTTTATTCATGCAATCAAAGTTTTATTTATGCTCACAAGATCCAAGTCCTTCTCAACACATGTTGTGTTATAATCACAGATCTGATTATTAACTAATTTCTGTTGGTTTCTCAATAGTCAAATGCCCCTGAAAGTTTCATATCCAGTTTCTGGTTGTTCTAGGTCCTGAAAGTTGAGAAGAGTACATCAAAACTTATCTCTGTTAAATTCTTCAGAGCTGTCAGAAATGCGAGGAGTTTTTTCTCAGGAAGATACCAATGTGCTTATGAAATGTACTGATGTTTGTATTGCAGTTAGGGATGACTTTTCACCTAATCTCTAGCATAGAATATGTTTGTAATAGCAAGTCTTCAAGTGCTACTTACCTTTTCCTTCCTTTCTTTCCTTCTTTTTTGGAGCAGAGCTTAAGGAGCTTGTAGGGCAGATAGTGTGCACAGACAAAGGGATCTTGGCAGTGGAACAGAATAAAGTGTTAATTCCACCAACCTGGAATAAAACATTTGCTTGGGGTTACGCAGACCTCAGCTGCAGGCTAGGAGCCTATGAATCAGACAAGGTCTGTATATCACATTTATTTTGGTTTTTAACTTCATGCTTGAAATTTTTAAAAGACAATTTGAACTGCTAGTATGACATTTCAGAAAGCTCTAAAAAGAAAGCAAGAACAGCTTAACATCTAGAATATTTCTGTTGACCACAAAATCAGTGGGATATTTCTCTTGAATGGTTCTTATAAAGCTTCATATGTCAGATCTACTTCTGTAGAATCGCTGTATGCAACTTTCTAGAATGTTACAATGGTGCTGAGAATGGCAAAAATATACTGTAGTTCTCATGTGTGGGAAATAGGTATCTACCGTGCATTGGTGGTGGCCTGCCTCCTGAATTTCAAGGCTCCTCTTTTAATTTCACCCCCAGAGAACAGATGTCCACAAGAGAGAATGTTGGCCATTTCTTGTCCTATTATCTTATGCCCACTCCTTCCATCTCATTTGCTTTGCCTTTTAACCGCATACAAGGAGCTGGTCCCCAAAGTCAGCTGCTTGGTTGCTGACTGAGTACAGTGGTGCCCCGCATAGCGACGATAATACGTTCCAAAAAAATCGTCGCTATACGGATTCGTCGCTATGCGGAACAAAGAAGCCCATAGGAACACATTAAAACACGTTTAATGCGTTCCTATGGGCACATGGCAAAAATATAGTTCTCATGTGTGGAAAATAGGTATCTACCGAGCATTGGTGGTGGTCTGCCTCCTGAATTTCAAGGCTCCTCTTTTAATTTCACCCCCAGAGAACAGATGTCCACAAGAGAGAATGTTGGCCATTTCTTGTCCTATTATCTTATGCCCACTCCTTCCATCTCATTTGCTTTGCCTTTTAACCGCATACAAGGAGCTGGTCCCCAAAGTCAGCTGCTTGGTTGCTGACTGAGTACAGTGGTGCCCCGCAGTGCCCACTCCTTCCCTCTTATTTGCTTTGCCTTTTAACCTCATACAAGGAGCTGGTCCCTGAATCGGAGCCCAAAATCAGCTGCTTGGTTGCTGACTGAGTACTGAAAATCAACTGCATCTGAGAGCCACCTTTGTAACAGGAGAAAGCCAGTGTTTGGATTGCACAGTTAAATGATAGTAAATATGCCTGTAAAGTTGATCTGACTTACTATTCAGATTTCTACACTTTGTAGGCCGTGGTTGTTTATGAATGCTTATCAGAATGGGGACAAGTACTCTGCGCAATTTGTCCAAATCCCAAGTTAGTCATCGCTGGAGGCACCAGCACAGTTGTCTGCGTATGGGAGATGGGCACTTCCAAGGAAAAAGCCAAAACACTTACTCTTAAGCAGGTATGGGCGCCTAACAAAATAAGCTTGTAATGTAGCTTCTGTAATGAAATGGAACATTCAGCCAATTGTGTTGCATGGAAGTGCTTTGCCTTCCCATCCTATTTGCTGCTTTGCAGATTTTTTTGCTGATTAGCAGAACGAGTTTGGGTTCTGCCAAAGGTCCAGGAAGGTCCTCAGGAAGGTCCACTTCCTACTCTGCACATAGTTTGGTGCTTGTGTCTTTTTGGAAAATTGCTAAAATCAACTAAGCACAACTCAGTTTTTGTATGCTACCACTTTAGCAATGGCAGTCTCCTCTCTCAGCAATGAATAGGGAGGATTTCAGAGAGATGTTCAAAAGTGCCTGCATTAAGTCCTTGTTTCATTCTTTGGCTGTACCATTCCTTGGACCCAATTCACCAAGCAGTTCTGCTACAGAGTCTTGCCAAAGTTTGCACAGAAAATGCTTAAGACCCGGTTAAATGACTGGAGGTTGTTCAGCAGCAGTGCCTTGGTGTATTTGCAATTCCTAACTAAAATATTTCTATCCCTGGCCAATATGCTGTCAAGTTTCCACTGAGCAGAAAGTCTTGCTAGAATAGTAATGCAGAACCATGTGCCTAGCATTGTCTTTGCATAAGCAGTGATTTCCATGAAGAAAAACCAGCCCCCACTTGTACAATGGTGATAGTTGCATAATTGGCACAATCCCATATTAGCTGAAATCCTTTTGCTTAGCATACTGCTTTGCAGCTAGAGCAGGCCCAATGAATCAGAAGTTGACTTACCAAATCCCACCGATTCAGTGGGCCTACTCTGCTTGCAGTGAGCTGAGCTTCAATGGAGGTTCAGCATGATATTGCCTCGTAACTCTGTGTTTCAGCAGTTTTTACCTATTTTTTCTATAACAAGCTGTTTCAACTTTTTTTTATCCCATATTTTCTAGACAAAAACTGTTCCTATGATATCTGTAGTTCAGCATATCTTACATTTTCTGTTGTCTTTGGCTTTTAGGCACTGCTAGGCCATACAGAAGCAGTCACATGCTTAACCGCCTCCCTGGCTTATCACATCATTGTGAGTGGGTCTCGTGACCGTACCTGCATCATCTGGGATTTGAATAAACTCTCATTTTTAACTCAACTTCGAGGTCACAGGGCCCCAGTTTCAGCACTCTGCATCAATGAGCTGACGGTATGAATCCAACATGTGTATACAGTATTTTAGGGAAGAGTCTTTCTAATAGGGTTGTAGGTTTTTTTGTTTGCTTGTTTGTATTTGGCATTTATGGATACCAAAACCACTGCTCACGTTTTCTCTCATGGCTCTCTCTTTAAGTCTAGAGGAAGCTGGCAGGGGAGGTGCTGATGTTTAAAACAAGGAGAGAGGCTTAACGTCGTCATACTACTATATATTCCATCCTACACTGCTGCCTGTTGTCACATAGGCAGAGACACTTGTATTTATCATTCTCAAAATGAGATTTGGCTGAGCTGGGAGTCCAGGTGTTAATTGGGTATAGTACCTGTAAAGGAACTGCAGTTATGCTTCATGCACAACTGGATGACAGTGGAGCCAATGACCTCGAAAGGTGGTGAGTGCTCCAACACAGGAGGCATTCAAGAGAGACTTAGACAACAACCGGGCAGATGTCCTTTGATTTGTATTCCTGCATTAAGCAGGGGTTTGGATTTGATGGCTTTATAGGCCCCTTCCAACTTCACTATTCTATGATTCAGGCACACCATGGATAGGAGCCTTGCTCCATGTCGGGAAGGATGTGTCTCCCATGGTGCATCCTTCAGTTTTTCTCACATTAGGTTGCATTTGCATCCTGAGACTAATGGGGCTGGCTGAAATCTGCAGCTGAAAGGCTTTGCCCTTCTTCCTCTACATGGGCGGGTGGGTGTGTTTTAACTCTAGGAATGAATGCCACTAAATGTTAAAAAAAAAAATCTTCTGCCAGCAATTATGCATGCCTTGTTATTTTAATCTCCTCCTTTTCAGGGTGACATTGTGTCTTGTGCTGGCACTTATATCCATGTGTGGAGCATTAATGGGAACCCCATTGTGAGTGTGAACACTTTCACTGGGCGCAGCCAGCAGATCCTTTGTTGCTGCATGTCAGAGATGAACGAGTGGGACACTCAGAATGTCATTGTGACCGGGCACTCAGACGGAGTGGTCCGGGTAAGTCCCAGGAGATAAATTATGGGATGGAAGGCATATGTCTGTAGATAATTGTTACAGAACTTCATTTAGTATATCAGTAATTTTATAATTTAAGAACATTCCATTAAAGATGACCATGGGTTTAGTCAGCAGTTGCATGCACAAATGATGTGAACAGAAACTAAACTATTTTATCTCTGGGGCTGACGCTGTTCCAAACTGCAGCTCCTACGTATTTCCCCTTTTACCTAAGGCAATAATTATTTTGATGTCGACCTCATTTGTCACATTCTAGAGAGAAAATAAACACCCCACAACCCATTTTCGGGCATGTTTTAGGAAAACTGGGTTTGTCTTAAAATGTTTCAGACTATTTTGTCTGGGTTTTTAAAATGCATTGTTAACTTTGCAATACATTTGGTATCCTGCCTGGAATATCGCTGTGATAGTAATGGAAGGCCATATATCAAAGGGATAAAAATTTGCATCTGTATATGTTTTGTCTAGTTCTGGCGGATGGAGTTTTTGCAGGTCCCTGAAACTCCAGCTCCTGAACCTGTAGAGACCCTTGAGATGCAAGAAGAGTGTCCAGAACCACAAATAGGTACTGTTTTGGCTTTGTATTTCTTCTCTTCATCTGTGAATTACTAATAACATAACTCTGTCTGTATAATTCACATTCAGAGGGTAGCTGAAGAAGCAAACTGATTCATATGTGTTCAAAGAGTGGCCTGAGCTTTTGAAGGAGAGAGCAAGGTAGAGGATTCCAAAACCTCTGACCCTCCGGAGCCCAAGCACTAGGCTGGAAGTGTGCTTTCGGGAGGAAGGAGTTGTTTCTGTGGTTTATGGTAGCAGGCTGGGTCCTTCTCCTCTGACTTATTTAGGCTGGATGATGCCATAGGCAGTAGCCATGCCCACTGACATCATCAGCTGGTCAGTTTGACACTTCAGCCAGGGAACAAGCTCAGCACCACCACCCCATCCTCCTTCCCAGGCAGGAAGAGTAAATGGCTCTCAGGCCACCCTTTCTACAGTCCCTGGAAGCACTTTCTGAGGCTGCCTTGTTTCCCTCCCAAACCCCTCTTGTGATTCAGAGAAGGAGATGCCACTGTTACCTGGTATTTTCTGGGAGCACCAGGTTAGACAGCAAAATTATTCCTCTCCACCACCACCACCACCCATGTGGAGAAGAGAAAGGGGGAGTCATCCACTGTCACCTAGCATTTGTAGGAGCCAATTAAACTCAGTTTAGATTCCCTTGGAAGAGTTTTCTCCTGCTCTCTGGTAGGGGAGGCTGGGCTTTCATGGCAGAGACTGGCAAGTCTTAGGTAAAGGTCTGACACTCAGTGGACAAGGGGCTCCACTCTCCTTGGGAAGACCTAAAAAGCATTGGTTCTCGGTGGTATAGAGAAGGCTGGGAGTGTTGTTCTTGTGTGTGGATTTGGTTTCTAGTGGCTTGCTTGCCAACTCAACTGAAAAAAACACCACTCATTTTTGACTGACACGATTCTGCCATTTCAGCATGCTGACCATCCATGCCTTCTTTGTGAATAGCTGCCTGTCCATGTAGGCTGTCAACCTAGCAATTGGAGCAACAGTGTAAGGCTTAAACACAAGCACGCACGCACGCACGCACACACGATTGGAGCAACAGTGTAAGGCTTAAAAAACACACACACACACACACACAAGGCAACAAGATTTTTTAAAAAAACATTCCAAAATGAGTTGAATGTATTATTTGGACTTAGATTAGTTTTTTGGCAGGGTGCTGTGGTATAGGGGAAGATGAATAATAAGCTTGTTTGTGTCCATACTGCACATAATAGGGGAGGAAGCTCCAGACGAAGAAAGCAGCGATTCTGAAACAGACGATCAGGGTTTCAACCATGATGCAAAGTTGCAGGAGAGCCAGAGCCAGCCCAACAGCATCAGCCACAGGCCTCGATCATCCTCTGGCCGTGCAACAGCCGTGTGGTCAGCGGATAACAGCTCTGATGATTCGAGGAGATGGTCTGACCAGCTCAGTCTGGATGAGAAGGACGGGTTCATCTTTGTCAACTATTCAGATGGGCAGACAAAGCCATATCCCCATGCTCCGGTGAACCACCCCTACCCAAATCCAGGAGAATTGCGGCACTACAGCAAGCTGAAGCCAGGTGTGAAGATCCTTCTTTATTATTACAAAGGGAAAACTTGTTGTTCTTGTCCTGTAATCTAGGCAGGGTTTTGGTTGCTGGTTTGCAGTGGTCTAAACGGGTTGACAGTGGAGATCTTGAGTCTTGTTCCCCTTGCATTGTGTACAATTGTCAGTTGGCATAATGCAGCAGGACGATATGATGAATGTGCCTTCCTTTGTTGCGTCCTTTCAGTCATCTCCAAAACTTTGAAAGCTGCAACATTTTCATTAGAAGCATGAAAGAACTGCATGCACATTCAGTTTTTAAAACTGCAAATAACATAACCTGAAGAGAGTATTGTTCCTTCTGAAAACCAGAAGGCAGGTTCAAACACTGTAGTTCCAGAGAGAAGAAGGTCAATTAGATGTACTCTTCTTTCACATTCAGAAAAGCATAGGAACCATTTATCCATCCCTATGCATGTTACAGCTCAGCTGGGTAACTCTGCAATTAGGCATTCTTGTTATCTTCCTTTGTACATTGGAAGATTTAAAAGAACAAGAAACCCTGTTGCTTCTCCAGAGCCTGCAGATCGAGTATCCCCATCCCTATTCAAAGTGCTGGCCTTCTTAGAAATGTCATGGATTGTAGGTTAGGCACAGTGGTGCCTCACTTAACGATTACCTCATTAAATGACGAATCCACTTGACGATGAGGTTTTTGCAATCGCTATAGCGATCACAAAACGATGTTTTAATGGGAGAAAATTGCTTTTCTGCTTCGGGAACCAATTTTTTGCTTAACGATGGTTTAAAAACAGCTGATCAGCGGCTCTCAAAATGGCTGCCCGCTGTTTTTAGGACAGATTTTTCGCAAGACAGGTACCGGGAAATGGCCACCCTATGGAGGATCTTTGCTGGATGATTAGGTATTTAGCCCATTGGAACGCATTGAGCAGTTTTCAATGTGTTTCAATGGGTTTTTCCCCGCTTGACGATGATTTCACTCTACAGTGATTTCACTGGAACGGATTAACGTCGTCAAGCGAGACACCACTGTACTTGTTCATCTTCTGTGTGTGCTTAGTATCATATCCTCCTTCTTTGTGGCCTCTGTGAATGCACAGAGTTGGGTTGTTCTGTGCCTGTGCAGGACGTCTCGGAAGTTTCTAGAGCTTAAAGACATGTGATTAGTAGGACATTCCCCCATGGAGTGCATGCTCCACCCTCCAAAGGTCCCCTTAGTTTCTGTAAGAGTCAAAGACCTATATCAAAATACAATGTGATGGACAGAAGGGAAGATGGGCGAGATGTGTGGATTCAGAGAGGACCACTAGAGGAACCATGGTTCCAGGTAGGTAACCTCTCTTTTTTCATCCCATAGGTTACAGATGGGAGCGGCAGCTAGTATTCAGGAGCAAGCTAACTATGCACACAGCCTTTGATCGCAAAGACAACACGCATCCTGCAGAGATCACAGCATTAGGCATCTCCAAGTGAGTAATGGGTTTGTTCGTGTGCTCATGTTCCCTCTGAAAGTATTGTGAGATTTGAGCTCATCTGAAACAAAAGGCACAATGCTATTTTTAAATAGCAAACACTCTTTTAAGCTACATGAAAAGAAGTATAGTCTCCAAATCACACAAAATACTAATTTCACTCTATTCAGCATTTGTTAGGAGTTCATTTGGAGTTCCAGACATGGCACTTTAAGAAGGTTGCAAACAAAATGGAACAGGTTCAGAGGAGGGCAACAAGGATGATCAGGGGAGTGGAAACAAAAATGGAAGGATGGCCCTCAGAAAAGACTGCAGGGAGATATGAGAGCACTCTTCAAATATCTGAAAGGTTGCCACACACAGGAGAGGCAGGATCTGTTCTTACATTCCAGAGTGCAGGACACATAATAATGAGCTCAAGTTACAGGGAAGCCAGATTTCGGCTGAATATCAAGAAAAACGTCATAACTGTTAGAGCATTATGACAATGGAACCAATTATTTTGAGAAGTGGTGAGCTCTCCAGCATTGGAGGGAGGCATTCAAGAGAAAGTGAGACAGCCATGAGTCAGATATACTTTAACTTGGATTCCTGCCTTGAGCGGGGGGTTGGATTTGATGGCCTTATAGTCTCTTCCAACTCTGTTGTTCTATGATAATTGGTTCCTTTTGGGTCTAGAGAAGGGACCACTGACTAAAAATAGCTTTAAATTAAGTAAGACTTCCATCACACCTAGTTGAGCGTGAAGCCATGATAGCTAAGGAAACATTTTCTACTGTCCAGTCCAGTGACTGGACAGGCAGTCCAGTTACTGGACAAAAAGGATGGCTGTTGTGTCCAGCTTCTGCATTTGCAACAGCAGCTGATTAGCTAGTGTGAGGCCCAGCCCCAAAACAGTACTGACAGAAAACAGGAAAGGTTAATAAAATGGCAATCTGCCCAGTGTGTTACAGCGGAGACTTACCTCCAGGGTATAGGAAGAACAATGTGGGCTTTTATCCAAACACCCTGGAAAGTGACTCGGGCACCAGCAGAGGCGGGGGACCTTGGCAAAATTGACTCCTCCTTGATTGGATCTCAGTTTGGTGCCAAGCTGCGGAAAAAAAAAAGATTTCTGTTTTCTTGAATGATTCATGTTTCTTCTGGTCCTGAAGCTTGTTCGTTGTTGCTTTAATGTAAGTTTTGGCTCATCTATAGTAGTATATCCTGGCCTTGTTACTGGTTTAGAGGGCTGCTTTTTCTTGTTCTCTCTTTGAAATACGAGATTATACTTAAGACTGTTTAAATTCATCACCTGTGTGAGGACTTTGCCCTGAATGGTGAACTATACATTTTTGAAAAAATAAAGAAGAAATTCGACTGACCAGCCTGTGCGTCTTCAACTCATAATGGTTTGACTTATTATTAACAACAATAACAATAATCATAATCATCATCTGCATTATGGTTTATTTATAATGCCCTTGAAGAATTCCTTCACTAGAATGCAATGACCGTGTTATCTTTTGCCCTCCCACCAACCTTCCCTCATTTTGTTTCCACTTTGGAGACAGGAATGTTTGAGGGGGTGAGCCTTAGCTTGGTTCATCCAGTATGTTGAATGTCCACATTTGCTCCATGAACCTGGTGTGGAAGAGAGGAGAGAGTCAAGTTGGCCTCCGCATCCCTTAGGGCAGTGGTCCCCAACTTTGTCCTCCAGATGTTCTTGGACTTCAACTCCCAGAAATCCTGGCCAGCAGAGGTGGTGGTGAAGGCTTCTGGGAGTTGTAGTTCATGAACATCTGGAGGCCCAAGGTTGGGGAGCACTGCCTTAGGGTGCTTCTCTCCAGTGAGGTTAAGCGGACATACTTCAACCGCGAGATCGTTTGTAAGTGGGTTTTTTTCCTCCCCTAGGGATCACAGCAGGATCCTGGTAGGTGACAGCCGAGGCAGAGTCTTCAGCTGGTCTGTCAGTGACCAGCCTGGCCGCTCTGCAGCTGACCACTGGGTGAAAGACGAAGGCGGGGACAGTTGCTCCAGCTGCTCCGTCCGGTTCTCCCTGACTGAAAGGCGTCACCACTGCAGGAACTGCGGGCAACTCTTCTGTCAGAAGTAAGAAAGACCATCATGATCTTTCCTATAAATGTATTAAAGGATGGTGAATGGAGGTGGTAAACATAAGGGTTTCCCAATAGCAATAACAAACAGGAGGCAGTTTACTTTATCTCAGTAGCAAATCAAACACATTTTCCTGAACAAAAAAAAAAGCGGGGGGGAGGGGGAAGGAGACTGTGCAATAAATTATTTTAGAACTTAGATGGACATTATTTTGCCATAGATGCCATAAATGTTGTTTGTTGGCATAAAAAGCCATTATAAATTCACAAACCTGTGATGATACATGCAGGAAAGCAGGTCCCTCCCTTCGGAGAAAAGGAGCCACATTAGCCTGATTGAGCGACAGAAAGAGGTTGATGGTTCCAAGATCAGCACCTGTAACTGTGGTTCTTAAAAAGGTCACATCATTTGTACGCCTTCAGAGAGACTGAATGGGGGTGTAAAATAGAGCTGAGGAGTTTTGGTTGTGCACACTTAAACGGCCATTAGTCTCTAAGGACTTGGAATTGAGGTTACATTTTGAGATCAATACCAATTACCTCAGATTTCATTTCGTCTACTCAAGTCTGCTATGGAGCCCACTCCTTAATCCATTTGTGCGTTAAATGTTGTTTCCCCTCACCTCACTCTACCCCAAGTTGCCAGAGTGTCACTCAAGATCTTTAAAACAACTGAATATTGAGCAAATAGGTGGGTGCCTTACGAATTTACCCTTTTGTGTTCTTTTTTTAAAAAAATATTTAACTATAACATAAACCAAAATACAAATTAACTGTATTCCCGCCACCGTAGTCGGGACGTCTTGAAATAATCCTCCTCTTACGCCATCTATATTCTTCTTCTTCTTCTTCTATTTTTGTTCTCTTCTCCAGAAGTGCATTGATTCTTGATTTGTGTTCTCCTCTTCAGGTGTAGTCGTTTTCAGTCTGAAATCAAGCGTTTGAAAATCTCCTCCCCAGTACGGGTTTGCCAGAACTGCTACTACAACCTGCAGCATGAACGAGGCCCTGAGGACGGATCCTGGAATTAGCACGTTAAAAGACAAAAACGCGGACGCCCAGCTTTGCACTGCTAGGACGCAAAGAACGCAGTGGCTTAACGAATTCCAAGAACATGCAGTGCATTTCGAAGGGATTGCAGTGCTAGCCCCTTAACACTTCTTTGTACTGTGCATTAAAGCACTGCAAACAAAAGGGATCATTAATTATCTTGCCTGTACATTTGCAGAGATGGGGCTGAACAACATTCATGTGACCAGCGAGTATCGGGTGGGCGATGAGCGGTTGCCACAACTGCGGTAGGAACCCTCAAGACCCAGCCCTTCCCACTAACATGGCTAAGAGGAAAATCCATAATTAACCATCTCTTGTGCAGTCTTCATTTTGTAGTTAGTCACCTTATTTGGGTTGCAGGAAGCAGGAGGCTTTTTAGATGATAGTTGTAAATCTGCCTTCTTTGCAAGCAAACTGTGGATATTGTAAATAGGTATAATGGCCTTTTTATTGAAGTATGAACTGAACTGCCTGTTACAGAGGACTACAGACCAACCACTATACTTTGCATCTCATCTTTAGCTCATTTATTTACTAAAAGATGAATGTTTTTTAAAGCATTAAGAGGCATTATCTGTATTTTTTTCTTTACAACCCAGACTGCATGTTGTTCTTTCAGTTATTTGCATAATCCTAACTTAAACCAAGCTATTTAGAATTCTGAAAAGGGGAAAGAAAAAACAAACGCAATCCCATTTCTTTGGGGCAGTAGGATTCAGAATATTTTGTTGTAAACTGTAAGATAAGGAGCATCTTTTGGTTACATTTTTTAAATACAGAAGCTTGTGTAGAATCTGTCATTGAGTTTAAGGATTTTTTTTTTAATACCATATGGACCTGCTGCATTGTTCACTCTAGGTATTACAAAAAAAACAGGCAGACTAGATTTTATTCTCAGGACAGTAGTAAATGACAGTAGTAAATCCAGGCCCTTTTAATATTTTTTTTCCTAGAGAAGAAAATGGACCATTGTTTTCCCCCTTAGGTATTGTCTACACATAACTACTGTTGTTTAAACTGGATATTGCTGATACCAAACCTGGGTTGGATTATGGGGGACTGTTCTGTTGCACAGATGCCTTGGAAATACATAGGAGTTACCTATATTCCATTTACTGTGGTGGAGTTTGTCATTCCCATCAGGAGTTGCCCTCAAAACTGCACCCACCTTATAGGCCACCTTGACCATTCTGCGGTATCCTTGGGGGATGTTAGTTAAATTTTCATTACAGGAATATCTGTTTCATACATTGGTATTAACGATACAAGAGGCAAAAGACAGATCAAATGCAATGCCATGAGTAGCCTCCTTAGAACGAAACCTTGGAGAAATACCAGTTTTTCTTTCGCTTTTTACAACCCCGGCATCAAGCATATTTTTTTCCTAAATGAGTCATGATGACTTTCATCAACCTTGGAAGTGTTGAGTATGTTCACAGATACTGTAGTTGCACATGGGAAAGGTGGAGGTCAGCAAGAAATTTAAAAAGTCTCACTGGCACACTATAGAGTGAAAAAGGTATGTGGCAGAACACTGGAGCAGTGTACACACATTCTAAGGTATAGTGGTTCACTTAGGAAAAAATAAGCATATATTAGGGTTTGAGTTGCTTGCACAGGTCCAATGGACACACACTCACACACACCCCCAGGCTCCTAGAGATTTTGTGCTCTCTTTGGAATAGAAATCAGCAAGTTTTGTCCACTTAAACCTCTTGAGAGTGGTGTATGCACTGATCAGTAGAAACCTTTGTATTTTGAAGATGTACATTCTTAAGTTATAATGGACTATAAGAATTCGATCAATTTGTAATTTGATATGTGTAGTTCAGGCCCTCAAAGGAATAATTCCATGTGATCATTACACAGGTCTTTTAAGGGGATTTCATCTATTCCAAAATTAGCAGTTCTAGTCCAGCAGCTGTTCTTCTGCCTTGCCCTTGCAAAGAAAACAAGTTTCCATATTCACCTACTCAGTATATTGTTTCATTCAGCTGATAGCAGAATTGCCAAGCCAAATCAGTTGCAGCATTTGCTGGAATTTAATTTCATTATATAGACTTAAGCACAGATACACTTAAGCAGTTTATTGAACTCACTGTAGTAATACTTGTTTTAAAAGGGCAAACATTATTTCTTTTACAAACAGTTTCAATAAACTTGAAATTATCCAAAAGGCACCTTTACTCCATTGCATTTTAGTTTCTTCTTGTATGTCTGTGTAATTTAACCTGGAAGACCTTAACATGAAGTCTGTGTCTTTAGCTTGAGAAGAGTTTGGGATGAATTTAAATCACAATAAATTCCTTCAAGCAGAATTCTAGGCACTAAATGGCGCTAATACCACAGATACAACTAATGCTGGGTCATTAGAAGACAACAGGATGTGTAGAGATGTTTATTGTGTTAATTTTTTAAAAAAAATAGTGTGTTTAACTACATTAGACATGTTGTACCAGTGTTATTCTACACTTTTTACATTTGACACTCTTCTCAAGACAGAAGGTATTTTATCTTTGTGACTGACTGTTGTGTACAGGTGTATCTAAAGTTCAGTATGCTGAATTTCTCAGCTATTTGATGGGTGACAGTTTCTTCCAGAACTTATTTCTGTATCCAACAGGTGGATACAGGGGGCTACGTCCTGTTGATTAGAGAGGACTCACCTATACCAAAAATAGGTGTTCTACAGCCTCCATTTATTCCACTGGCAGCTGTCTTGAAGTTCACATGAGCTCCACTGGAATGAAGGAATGGCAACCTCCACAAATTCTTAGTGCCGTTAAGCGTGGACAGTCCCCTGGCAGCTGCTGCTGTAACCCAAAAACCAATGTTTCTAACCATCTCATGGACTTGCATCCATGTTCTGGGCCAAGCAGCTCAATAGCAGTTCTCACCAATTTCTGTTTTAGCATCAGAACGTTTTGATGACCAGAAGCAGCACACTAGCCCATTGCACTGTCCTGCATCTTTCCTCCTGCCTTGTTCTTTGATGTAATTCTTCCTGAACACATCCATGTGCTCTACCTTTGTTTGTAATGTGTTACTGTAGTGTTCATGCTTAGGCAGGTGAGAGTGGCTGCCTTCATCCATCTGTCCAATAGCAAAAACACTTTAGGCACATTATTTTGCACTTTCTTATGTATAAAAATCAGTAGAAACTTATTTTTTGCTTTGTATCATTTGAAAGACTCTTTTTGTTTTGGTAAATGAGCTGTGTATAAAAAATATTTATGCAGTTAAAGAACTGTTTTTAGAAAATATTTTTAATTTCAGCAAGTTTGGTTACTTGTTGCATGACTTAACACAACTGACTTTTTGTGTCAGTACAATGTATATTTTTGTCCTGTTACTAATTTGTAAACCCAAGAGTAAATGGCCATTTATTTGTACAGCAGCAGGAGTAAAGTGGAGATAACTGGCTATGACTGGAGGGGTGGCATTTTGTACTATATTGCAGAATCCAGTATCTGTTTTTTGGTGGTTATGTAAAAGGCCTGAAGAATTACTATCTAGTGTGCAATCTGTGATATCTGAATGTTTTATTGTATATTTGTCTCCAATGCAAAAAGGTAGAGTAACACAATTACAATACACAATTAAATGCAATAGTTCAGGTAATATTTTTTTTGTTTTCATTTCAAATAAATAATTGCTATTTACCACCACATTTTTTGTTTTGATCTTTGCAAAATTGTTTTAAATTGGTAGTTTTTGTTGTTCAGTCTGTGTCACTTGTATTTGTGTGTACTTGAGCACACAAAGAAAATGTATGAATAAACAAGTGAAACAAGGTCCCAGAGAAATGTTGGGGGCTAAGACCAAAGGCTGTTGCAAGTTACTGAAACCCACTACTGTACTCTGACTTTTGAGACTTTTCACTCCTGAAGACTAGATACATATTTTAAGTGGAGTCTTCCTCCAGAAGACAAGGCCTCCCTAAAGGCACTCTTATACCTTAAAATTGATCTGTTTCTTAAGACTGGCAGACAGGGTCTGATAGTTGCATCTTAGGCGGAGGTTTGGTGCCATCTCGCCAGTCTGTCCATAGAACCATTAGGGCAGGGCAAACTGCTGTTCTGAAGACTTGACTCTTCTTTCCTTTCCCCTGAAACTTAGACCCTTAGAAATGGGCAGTGGAACGGTTGTAGGGATCATTTGCAATCAGGCAAATGACCGAATTTAGCTAGAATTGTCTCCCTGCACAAGCAGCCTGTCCCCAGCATGCCAATCACTAGTGCAGGAGAGAAACGGATGCAGAACACATATCTCATAACTGTCTTGGTCACTTTCCCTACTATAGGGCACATGAAAACACTTCTGGCATAGAAGATCTTCCTGCTGTAGCTTTATGCTTTTTAACAGTCCATGAGGTCTCCATGAATGATGACAAGGAAGGTTTGAGACCACTACTCAGGAGCGGAAAGATCTTAAGGTTTTGAGAATGAGGAGAGTCCTCCTAAACCTTCTCTCTCACACACACACACACACATTGAGCTGCTAACCTACTGGCTTCCACTGCATCCAACATTTCACTTTTCTTGCTTATTTCCCATTTGTCAGGAATAGAATGACTATAGAACAGGGGCCGCCATTTGCGGCCTGCCGGATGATAGTTTTCACCCCCGCCTTGCTTGCCCCCCCCGAAGCACCTACGTGGCCTCTGCTGTCAAGAATCAAAAAAAGCCATGCCTCACTCGCTAACTCTCTCCCATGACAGTTCACGTGCCTCTTCTCCTCGGAGCCCCAGACGAGCTAAGGAAACTCCTGGGCGGTTTCCTCGGGCTCTTGCTCAGCTTGGCAGAAAATCTGATGTGGCCCAGCCTCACCCAGACTCTGCCTCCAGCGGCCCCCAGGTAAATTGAGTTTGAGGCCCCTGCTCTAGAGCAAGGGATCAAGACAAAGATAAGCACAAAATGGGCAAATGTTAGACAAAGACTGGCGAGATCCAGGTTGAAATCCCCACTGGGCTATGAACAATATGTAGTTGATCAGCTTGGGTGCTCATCCTCTTTTTAGTTTAACTTGGCTCATAAGGCTCTTGTAAGGAAACACGTGTGGGGGAGGAACTATATGAACTTGGAGAGCGGATGGGAAATAAACTGGTGCAGCAGAAGTGGAAGGGGTGGAAATTATCTCTGAACTTCAGCCCACAAAAAGAAAAGGTGTTTTTAAAAAGCCAGAAGAAGTGAGACTTTGATAAGATCTTTATTATTCCCAGCCCAACTCTACAAAATTCAACTAAAACATGTTTTTAATGTTTAAAATTTACAGTATATACACACAGTTTTCTACAGTTTTTACTAAACAAGGCAGAAGTATCTTACCCAAGAAAAGTGCCAATTAAAGAAAAATATTTGGGAGTCCTTTTCATCAAGATATTTAAATTAATAGAAGGTCAAACCACTTCAGTATTTGGGACTGAAGAATATTTTTTGCTTGTAGTGAAGAAAATTTAGCTAACAGAGCAAGTCATCTATTTCCCTCTATTTAAAAAGTCCAGCACATTAAGAATTACTAAGTCAGGAGCCATTCAGCAAGCACAGCTTGCACAAAGGTTTGTTTTAAGATTGACTGTACGACAACAGCCATGCTTGACGAATCGGTTGCTATTGGCACTATTTCATATATACATTTACCATTATGTGGTGTTTTGCACATGCCAACTGTACACTCCCATTTCGTTACTTGTAATATTCTTATGTGATCACTGAAAAGCACCCTGAGATCCCCTTTCGAATTGCATTCTAAAGATAAAACAATTCTAAAGTGGTAAAAGCACATCCAAACACATTTCATTTTTAAAGAGTAGCAGCATTTTACTGTGTCCTACAGTGCAAACAGAGCTGGGAGATCCAGCTCTTCTCTTAAATTCCATGGCTTAAATACAATCTTGTTTCAAGACACCAAAATAAAAAATTACACCAAAAATAATTGAAAAGTTACAGTTTTACATAAAATTAAGCTGTATATCTTTTCTATGAGTTGCCTTCTGGATAGAGAAATCAAAATATTTTCTCACAGAAACTATTTAAGCATTACGTTTCAGAGGCATACAAAGTGACTATTTAACTTCAGTGCAAATATTGCTACCAATCTCTTGAAAGCGGAACCCAATGTCACTACCTTTCATTTAGCTAGAGAACTTCATCCGTTTTAGGCAAGCCTGTGAGGCCACTCTTCTGTTTACTTGAAAGCTGACAACACTTCAAGGATCTAAGGGTACTGCCCATCCCCAGAAAAGTGCTGAATGAAAGGTAGGTGTTGGCAAAGGACTGTAGAGTCAGTTTCATAGTGAACGCAAACAATGCGGGAGAAAGGCACACATGATCCCCGACCTTGTTCTGTATCTAAAGCTCACACAAATAAAGCTGTACACAAGTCAGTGATCTATATGACGACATATCCAGATGAACACATGGCTGTCAGGTGGTCCTAGCTACCCTTCACTGGGGAAAGAAGATCCTTACATAGCTGTGCCATCTGAAGAAACTAAACCCAGGCTACCAAACAGAAAGGCTTTTGCAGTTTGCTAAGAAGAGGGTGACACCTAAGCACATTGTGCAACAGACTTCGGAGAATCCAGTTCCAAGAGCATTGGTTAATGCAGAAGACCTTTTGCGGCTACAAAAACAAAATCTGCATCCTGTATCAGTGTCCTTTTTCTGATGTTAATAACAAATCTTTAAACTGCAAAAACACTTCACAGGCCTTTCCAGTGATGGCAGAAGTACCAGATTAGATGACCAGGAATTCAAAATTCAGTTTTTCCCACAGCAGTGGTGCTCCACTTCATAGGAGGGTAACATTTTTCAGTCATGAGAAAGAGTGAGGCCATCAGCACATCTTGTGTTTCTTCTAACTCCTGCCATTACTCAAGAAGCATATGCCGGATAAACACTACCACTGCTCCCACTCCACCAAACAAACAGGGCCCTTAATATTTAGATGTCAGTGATGTGCGACCTAGCTATTCTAGAATGACTTCTGTTACTTTGCCAGGGAAAGGAACAAAACAAGGTTTCAGTCTCATGCAATGCTACTCTACTACAGTAGAGACATACGTACTGTATACCTGAAATGGTAGACTCTGATCTACCAGAATGTTCAGATTTTATTCTTTATGTTTGTATATATATTGATTTTTGCTATCTGCAGGTTAGTACAGGGTTTAGTCAAATGGTTCGAAGAAAGGATTGTACTATTGCTTTAACCCCTTCAAAACAGCTCACCGCTAAAGTAACATTCGTACGGCACAATTATTTGGCAGAACTGACTTGCACAAATCACACTGAAATGAACAGCAACTGTGCAGAAGAGCGAAGATATGATATGGTAGGACTCCCCTTCATTTCAATGAGATCTGCAAAAGAACAAGCTTCTGGAAGGATTCTGGTCCTAATGCCTTAAATCCTATAATATGAGTTACTAAGTCTTTGCCTTCTATGTACTTTATTATATTATTTGCTTTAAAAATAGAGCTTTTGCAGTATGACATGATAAAAGAAAGCAACATATGCTATGACTATCAGAAAGGTGAGATTTTATGCCGCTCTTAGAAAGGACTTTTAAAGAAAGCTGGGTAACATTCAGCACATCTAAAAACATGGATTCCTATGAAGCCACAACAAGGCTTTTCAGAGTTTTAAGCTGCTGGCCAAGATGTAGCTGGTGATGGTAGAATTACATTCATCTCATAGCCTACATAGGGGCAAGCTAACCTCGTTTTCATGAAAATGGACAAAAGACAGCCGAGTTACCCCTTGTATGGCACTTACCCTAACGCAGAACAAAGTGTTTTCATTTAACACATCTGAACACTGAGGCACACATAAGCAAAGAGCCATCAATTTTTTGGGTCCAAACATCCTGACCAAAGTTTGCTGGAAAAGAGGGCAACAGCTTAAGTGACTGTGGGCTTTAAATTGATCTCTGTGAACCTATGGGGGAGAATACATGAGACCAATCTCCTCTAAAGGGTCCTTTCCTATTTTTTGGAGTAAAAGAACAGAAGAGAATAGCCTCTGTTGTCATTTGATTATTATTTGGTCATACTGCTAAAACTGAGATACCAACACATTACTGTAGAGTGTCATTAAATAAGCTGGAGTCATTAATATTACTGCACTAAAAATGAGTTTTTTATAATACAACTGCACATCCCAAGTATTCCTTTATTTTGTGTGTGTGCAGATCCCCATTTAAAATGGATAGTTACTATTTTGTTTTTTTTAAAAATGAAGCTGGGAACTGAGAGTGAAATCTCCTTCCACCAACCCAAGAAAGAGAACTAGGTAAGAAAAAAACATGCAATTGTTTAAAAAGAACTTAAATCTTGCATGGCATTTTGGGTGTTCACAGTAATTTCAGTAAACAGACATTCATATCTTCAGTACACAGTTCTGGCTTCCATCCAAACTGCTCTGCTCTGAACAATAAGCCCCACTGTATTTCCAGTTGTGCTTCCCTTTGCAGTCTGCAGTCCAGTCCTCCTATCCTCTGAGTGGCAGCTGAAGGATCCCCTTTTCGGTGAGGTGCGATTTCAAAGTTTTATAAATGTTCAGTTGCTGTTCTGGCTGGAGCACCAACAGCTGCTTCAGTAGCTTGCTGGGATTGGGGCCTCTGACAAATAAATTGAACAAGAACACATTTCAATTAGCAAGCCTGTTCCTCCTTAGGTCCTTTCCTACATGGTTGGGGGCTTACTAATAAAGAATTGATACAAATGGAGTGTCTGATTTTAAAAATTGTACCTTTTGACAAGAATGCACCACTAAAGTACTTTAATGAGCAAAAGTTCCCTTGAATTAGGAAATAAGCAAAACAGGTGACAGATATTCAACAAGCGTAACAGATTCTACTGCAGATACAGTGGTACCTTGACTTACGAATGTCCCTACTCACGAACATTTAGAGTTACGAACAGCTGTGTTCGCAAAATTTTGCTTTGACTTGCGAACGGAGCCTCGACTTATGAACGAAAAAAAAACTTTCCTGCCCTTTTTTTGACCTAAGTTCATCTTAGGTCAAAAGAAGAAGAAAAAAATTAAAAAATTCTCCCCCTAGTGGTAGAGTATGGATTAACTGGCTTTACATTAGTTCCTATGGGAATTAATGCCTCTACTTGCGAACAGCACCTCGACATAAGAACGAAAAACAGCCGGAACAGATAAAATGGTTTTCAATGCATTCCTATGGGAAATTTTGCCTCGGATTAAAAACATTTTGACGTATGAATGCCGTTCCAATACGGATTAAGTTCGTAAGTCAAGGTACCACTGTACCTCCCATGATAGAGACTCGTAGTCTATGGAGGGACTGTTCACACCCACTATTTCAAGACAAGAGGGGCCTCTCTCCTGCTCTGGTCATGAGCCACCTATCACATCACACCTATCATTAAAATCTATGCAGATATTCACTACCACAGGGAAGAAGAAGAAAAGATCAGCAGCCAGGCCAAGAACTGAGTTATCTTGCATGCCATAACTATCACTAGAATTGGTTCTACATGAACAGAAATAGGAAAGGCTGCCTCCTGTATCACTAATGCTTTGTGGTTCTATTACTTCTTACTCAACCATATCTTTGCCTCTGTGTATCGAGCAACACTGAGACAGTGATTTCTGTTAACAAGAAAGCAACAGCTGTGACTCTTTCCTTTACCACAGCAGAAGGCAAGATACAGACAACTTACTCAAATTCTGTGAGGAACTAAGGATGATGAGCTCCTGATGCCTAATAGGCATTAAGGTCAAATTGCTAAGGAATAAAGGAACAGTAGTCACTTCTGTTTTTAGCAGCGTCAGGAGCCAAAGGAAAATGGAAACATGGGATAGCTTTTCCAAAGCCTTTCAAAACTTCAAAGATACAGTCTTTAATGGGACACAACCCTGTACACATTTGCTTATAATGTGAAAGAAGAAGTTCTTGCCTGGTGAGGCACCCTCTTCAGAACCTATAATGATTTTTTTTCTTGACAAGACTTGTGATTCTACTCGGTTGACAAACTTCACTTGAAAAACAGTTTCCACTAGATTATTTGGGATAGAAAGCAAGTGTAATTTCTTAGTTCTTTCCTTAATTCTTTATTTAAACAGTACTAAGATTGGCTACATTCCTGCCATCCAAGTAGAAGACTGATTTTGATGTTATTCTTTCAGCCAAAAGATCCAGAATGTAACCTCTGATATTCTGAAGAGTCCTAGTGACTGGCTGTTTTTTTTCAATTGCCAATTTGTTCATCCTTTGTCACATCCAGTTGGCAGTTCTTTCAGAGGCACTGCCTTTGAATGCAATCAGTCACATCTAGGTCTCTCGGCAGCATATGAAAGTGAAGACTAGTGAACGCATGCCAGTCCTCCAATAATGAATTCTTAAATGGATACCTATGGGAACATACCTTATGAAGCTGGTGATATAGACATGAACAAAAGTAGCCATCAAGTACTGACAGTCGAAACGGTCCATTATTCCACCATGTCCAGGAATAGTGTCTGCAAAATCCTTTAGGGGAAAAGCACAACGTTTCACACATTGCTTTTTAAACACAAGTAAAGATAATATCTTCTGCAAATAGTCATTAGGATTGTCAAACTGAAGTTTATCACCTGCTCTTTATCCTATTAATCAGTTAGTTAGATTTAAACTCTATGGTCCAGAAAAAAACCAAAGTCATGTGGGCCGTCTTTTTGCTATGTGCTGTCAAGTTGAAATCAACTTATGACAACCCTAACTGGGTTTTTAAGGTAAGAGATATTTAAGGAGTGAGTTTACCAGTGCCACACCCCCAGTGAGTTTCCATGGCTGAGTGGGGGCCCCTCTCTCCAGAGTCCTAGTCCGTCACTCTATCCACTACACCACACTGGCATCCCCGGTGGTCCTTATACAATACAAAAGCAAGGGCAGGTGATATCTTTTTGCTGTTGTTTAGCCGTTATGTCGCGTCTGACTCTTTGTGACCCCATGGACCAGAGCACACCAGGCTCTCCTGTCTTCCACTGCCTGCCGGAGTTCGGTCAAACTCATGTTGGTAGCTTCGGTGACACTGTCCAACCATCTCGTCCTGGTGATATCTTTACCAGACCATTTTTAAAAAATCAACAAACAAAAAGCTAGCTTTTAACCTATACTAGTGTTAATCAAGCTAGGTCAAAAGCTAGCCTTTTTTAAAAAGTGGTCCAATAAAAGTAACATCTGCCCTTATTTTAGTATTACATTTCAGTTGAAAGTGTAATATTCAATCAACACCTTTTTTTTAAAAAAATGGAGATATTCTCAGAGAACTAGAACAGCAGGTCTTCCTTTTCAAATGCACGGCTGTACAAGGAGCACATGCAAGGCTCAGAATGGAAACTTTCAGATGCCAATATGGCTACACACCTTGATTTTAAAAGCCCTTTTAAATCCACTAGCAAAAAAGCCTCCAAATGGCCCAATTAGGGATGCAAACGTTGACAAAGCAATGCTGTGCAACTGGAATGGGTACATATGCACCGTTTCCTAAAAAAGAAAAAAAAGTATAATCATACAGTTCTCTTTGCATTCAGTAATGTAAGGTAGTTTCTCCCTTCCCACACCCTAATACAAAACAAATAAGAACAAAGCCTCAAAAATAAGAACAATCAGTGACTAGACTCTGAAAGTAGGGAACAAGTATATCAGTTCTGTTACTTCTTCAGTATAAAGGCAATTACAGTTTCTGAAGTAGAGACACATATGTTTGTGACTTTAGGATTGAGACACGTTCAATAGCAGGATTTCTTGGGCTTGAGGGGTGGGGGGTTAGCCTGCACCCCTCCACATGATCCCAACTGAAATTAGTTCCACTGATCAACAGTGAAGCTTAAGTAAGCCAAGTTCCCAGCTAACGCCAAGGCAGGAACAGGATACTTTGCCAGAGCTAGGGCTCAAAACCTTATATTTAAACCTTTCTCCCAGATGTATTGTAACGAGGTGTTTTGCAAGTGCCTGCAAGGTAGGTAATGGAAATTTGATATTTGTGGTCTAGAAAATAAAAAAAAATTAATCCCTACTTTTTACTCAGGTTGCGATTGGCTCCTAGAATATTCACAAATCTACAAACCATCATCAAATGCCTGGAGGAGTATGGCTTCATTATGAACAAAGAAAGATACAGTAGTCCCCGACCTTGTGTCTCCAGATCTTCTTGGAACTACAAATCCCAGAAATCCTAGCCAGAATAGGTAAAGATAAAGGCTTCTGGGATTTCTAGTCTAAAAACATCTGGGGATCCCAAATTGAGAACCAGTGAATGAGAATATTGTTTGAATTAGGAGTCATTGCAAGCCACTCTAAGAAAACTGAATGTTCTGCCCAGTAGAGTGAATATTAAATGGTGAAAATGTGATCATTTAAGGATCTCAGCAAACAATCTTCAGCAGTTAGGAATCTCGGTATTCTGCATCCTGTATCTTGCTGCATTTCCTGTAGACTCTGCTGCTCTACTGAAAACTATGGCTTACAGTGTATCAAAAGCCACATTCCAAAAGAATGTATAGACTCTAGCCAGAATGTCACCACGGTTAATGGCTGGAGGTGTTAAATTGCAGTACTGTACTGCAATCAAGACACTGCTCACAATCTAAATTCAGACTGGACAGGCTCAGGTAGCTGGCTCAAAGTTGACTAGCCTTCCATCCTTCTGAGGTTGGTAAATCGAGTACCCAGCTCATGGGGAGGAGGTGGGAAATGTGTAGCTTGCATAATTAAAAAATGTAAACCACCCAGAGAATGCTTTAAGTTCTGTGGGGCAGTATGTATAAGCTAATTCTCAAAGGTTTTTCTCATCACAGATAGGAGCTTCTTCTGCTGGACTGTCCACCTACAAAAACTGGTGTATCAAGGAATTTGATGAGTCAAAGTTCAAAATCTTAGACCATCAGCAGATTGGAACTGCAATTGATCACACAAGTTATCTGACTTTGCACTGGATCTTAGTCGAAACCAATAAATAATTCTGGCACATCTGACATTTGCCCACCCCTGACAATGGTATCGCCTCAAAGGTTAACATAATCAAGCAAGGTTGGGGAACTCTCAGAATCTACTCCTAAGGAAGCTAATAAGGTAACAGAGGCCAGAATGCATTCTGTCTAATTAATGGTAGGAGTCTATAAATGTGGGCTACTAGAAATAGTAACCCAATGGAAACCACACTACTGGGCAGCATATATAGCACATTTATTCACAAGTCCAAAGAACAGTCAGTTAGACAAGTTCAGATCCTGATGGCAATGCACTCCAATGTGTAGAATGGATGCCCTCTTCACCTACTAGCCCAGAATATATCGTGCACATTTCTACATATTCCATATCTACATGTATTTCTTCCACTGATCTGAGTGCATCCAGTCAGGCACAATCCTTCCATGAATGCAAAAAGAAGTGTCATAACAAGAGGAGGAGCAACAGGTTTTTATAAATGTGGGAGACTGTGTGAAACCTTTGTTGTTGTTTTGCTTAGTGTGACTTGCAGAATGCTAAATATTCAAGGCTAGCTAAAACAGAGAAAGCTTTACATCACATATTTGGAACCCAGATTCTCCTTTTCTTTAAAGGTTCAGTTTTACTTACCCTTCCCAGCACAACCTGTAGCAATGCTGGTATGGAGTACTTCTGTAACTGAAACAGTTCTGATGGTTCACACTCTGTGACAAATCTATTAGTTTCACTGTTGTATTCCACAGGACACACAAAATACTGATACTGAGCCAAAAGGTAAGCAACCTGTAATCCATCAAGAGACTGTGATAAGACGAAGGCTTCAACTTCATGTTAGTCATTTCCAACTAAAAAGAAAACACATGCACACAAACCAAGGATTCTCTCTTCCTATGGTGTATCTAATATTACTGGAAACAATTGGGTTGCTGGTGCCACCAATACTCCCAAACTGCTCCAAGTGTATATACTTTGGTGTTTCTCCTATGAAGATCTATTTTAAGTCTTCCCACAATTAGAAGTCAGGCTGATAGTGACCAGAAAGGGAGGTTGTAGCTCCTGTGTATGGAATACACAGATGAGAAGCTTGTCTGATGCTATCTCAGGTGGGTCCCCCCCCCAGTAACAGGCACAGAAGCTGCAAAAGTAAATAAGATCCACCCATGCACTGAAGTATTCCAATATGATGGAGACAAAGGATAAGCGTTTTTTACTGCTAAGTAAAACACCAGCAATTTATTTTGGATCTGACAATCGTGTACAGTCGCCCTAAAACATGCCACCAAGGCATGTTTTGGGGCAAATCTACATGTTCCAGGAAGGCTTAGGGGGACACAGAAAGATAACCCAAATACACACACAAAGAGTAGAAAAGCGTTGTGAGTACACTTGGGTGTTCCCTGTGCAGCAATGTGCAGCTGGTGAACCTTTCACTTCCAGAAGAGTTGCACTGGAACAGCATTCAACCCATCCGCTTCATGGATGCAGACCCCCATTGGATGACAGCTGAAATCAAGGAAAAGTTTTTGCACACATCTAAAGCTTTAACCACTTCTGGTCAAAAACAGTCTGATTGTCTTGACATTTTAGTCATTATTTTATTTTGCCTATATTTCATTATGTCCTGCAACACTTTGATATGAATAAAGAGAAAGGTAGAAGAAAACTTTATTTTATATTAACATCAATCCTGCCTCCCTTATTGGTGAGCACCAGTGAAAACACCTGATGGAGTGGGAAACATTGCTGTGAAAGTCATTGGTCCTCCAGTGTCCTCCTCTGCTGCCAGGATATCGAGATTAACTGTAATGCTTGAGATCACCAACACCATCTGTCAGGGCAAAGGCAAGACCATCCACCCACCAATCTGATTTTCTATATTGTGAAAAGCCGGTATATTTATATTGTAAAATGATTATCTTGCCCTTACATAATATCAGTTACAAAAGATCATCTGTAGATAGTTGTGTATTGGTGAGCTGGCCTCTTAGATTTTAGGACACATTCTCTTTATTACTTCAGTTCTGGATTTGAATCTTATGGGGGCAAAACCAAATTGTGTCATCCTGTATCACAGTAATCTTTGCTCATTTCCTCTGCAGCAAACCGCCGGTCATTATAATTACAGTCACAAGCCAGACTGCCCCCAAAACAAGAGGCTATTCCAGGCCTCAACTTGACAAAGGCCGAATGCTTGAATGCTACAGGGGACTGGCAACATTTCCAGGGTTCTTTGTTCCAGTTTCAAATCCAATGCCAAATAACACAACATTAGTATGAGAAGGGCACATCTACTTACAATGAATCCAAACACCACTGTGGTAAAGAAGCCACCAATGAAGCCTTCCCAGGTCTTTTTGGGAGACAACTGATCAATAAGAAAAATGAATGATATTATAACTCTGACATTCAGGTTTCTCATGATTTGTTGCTGTTTGTGCTACAGAAGACTAACGCAGCCACTATTCTGGAAAGTTTAACTTTGTTGCTCAAATGTCTTTCTAAGCAGCCCTTAAAAAAACAATTATCAGAAATCTGTATTCTAAGGTTCAACACTACCTTAATTTATCAGATAATCCTACTAACCCCTTACATTTTCAAATTAGAAGAAATACAGTGGTGCCCCGCACCACGACAACAATCCGTTCCCCTGAAATAGCTGTTAAGTGAAAACATCGTCCAGCGAAAAACAATTCCCCATTGGAATGCATTGAAACCCATTTAATGCGTTCCAATGGGGAAATTAACTCGTCGTCCAACGAAGATCGCCCATAGGGGAAGCCATTTTCCGAGTGCCGATCACCTGTTAAAATGGCTGCTTTGCAAAGCACGGGTCCAGAAAACACAGGGCAGCCATTTTACGAAGCCGGAAAAATCGTCATTTTGCAAACAAACAGTTAGCGAAGCAAGGACCTAATCTTCATCAAACAAAATCTCCCATAGGAAACATTGTTTTGCAATCGCTATAGCGATCGCAAAAAAGTCATTGTCATGCGATTTTGTTGTTCTGCGGGGTCGTCATCATGCGGGGCACCACTGTATACTTTTGCAAATGGCATACTATCAGATAGAAGAACATCAACACAATATGGCTGAAATCCTGTTTGCTTAACATAAGAAGCTGAAACTAGAGTAGGTCCAATGAATCACTGGGCAGTTGATGAGTCAACTCCTCCATACATTCCATTGATTCAATGGGCCTACTCCAGTGGTCACTTACCACACTAAGCCACAAGATTTCAGCCAATCAAATGTGATTCACTAGGCAAGATAACACATCTCTGTGACAGCACTGTTAATACTTTATAAATCAACCTTCATGCACTTAAAGAAGACACTTTGTCCTCTGAAGTGTCACTTTTTTGCTGAATCCATACATAATTAGATTGGCATTCTGTAGGATTATCACCTGATCAGTTCAAAACACTGTTGCCAAGCTGCCGCTGCTTGCCATGTACAGCTTACTCTTTCACAGACAAAGTTGGTTAGAACAAAAATAGTCCCAGCAAATCTAAAGCGTTTTGCCATTAGGGTACTTTTTGTCCTAGCCAATATAACATCTTGGGACAAAATGTGTCCAACAATGTTTTTCAACACATCCTGATGCTGGAGAGCAGAAATGACGTACTCTGGTTTTTAGTAGGTTGGAAGCACGAGGGAGAGGAGTTAATGTGGAAGGAAATTCTCTGTGGGTTCAACAATTATGCAAAACCCAACCCCTAACTCTTAACACTAATAATAACCTTCAGCACTATGGGATTCCAATGGGATCAGAAAACATCTCGTAACTTTCAGTGTGGTTTTTAAATAATCCTGGTGCATAAGAGTTAACAAACTATGAAATTCAGAAAATGGTGAGAAATATTACTAAGAAAAAAAATTGTGTTGGCACACAAGCAAAACTAGCAAACCATACATCAAAAACTCTAGACTTTGACTGGTCAAAATTAAGGATAGCTCATGTAAGGACACAAAGGTTGCTTGAACAGAAAACAGTAGGCCATCCACACTAGCCATAATGTTAGGCAGAGATGCTCAATTATGACACAATTATGGCTACATTTCCACAAAACAATAAATCTTTATAGAAAAAATAGATGTCAACAATGTGCTAACCATCTAAATATGCTTAAAAGTGTATATAATACATTTAAACATTGATTAGTGCTCAAATTATGTACCTTAATTAATGGAGTTCTCCCAAAGAAGAATCCAAAGATATAAGCAGCGATGTCATTACAAATAACACTTGAAATTGGAACAAGAAACCTGAGTATTAAAAAGCAAAAGTTAAATAATTTAAATTCAAGCAGCAGATATTATTAACATTTGGCTTTTAGAAGATCTCTGACCAACTTGGAAGTCACACAAATTAACCCTTCTAGCATTATTACCTAAAATACAGGTTATAAGGAAGTTAGATACAAACTTTTAAAACACTTATAGAATGATCACTGTGACACGGCATTGTTAAGCAACTGAGTTGTGTATATTTTAAATTTATACCGTACTGTACATTTTAGAAGTTGTGAAAAAAAAAGAGATTGTGGTGTATTTAAGTGATTACATGTTATACTGGACTGATAGATACATTTTAGGCATGTGACTGGAAAGGATGTTGTTATTTATATTCCTTTACACTTCAGATTTTTTTAAAAAGCCCAAATCCTGTTGTGTACTTTTACTGATGCAGCAGGAATGATATTACCACTGGCTGGTACCTAATTAAAGTCTTTTCTTCGATGTCAGGTTGCTGTAACTTCATCTCATTGTGCTCAACCCCAAAGCATAGCAAGGAGAGTTAATTAATAGTAATCTGATACTCCTGGTGATATCATTCTGGCTATACCAGTGGAGCAACACAACCAGATATTCACCAATAGTTTTCTTTTTCTCCGTAGTCTTTTTAGCTTTCCTGTTGTGTTTATTACATTGTGAACATGTGGGTATAGAAAAGTATCTTTTAAATCTTTGTACAGCATCTACGAGATGCTAGTTTTTATGCAAATAACATTAATACTGATCTTAAGAGTTTGAAGAATGACTTTACAGATGTAAAATTCAAATACATGAGCTCAGGCGGCTCACCACAGTAACCCTTCTCTGCCTTCTTGCTTCAAAATCATGCCTAAAAGTGTCCTGTTACTTTGCTTTCTCCCTTGTAGAGGAGATCCAGTTTCATAAGCAGGAGCTGGACAAATAAAGAGGGAATCAAAGAGTTGTTTAAGCTAATATAGGATACAGTGAAACTGTCAATTCCTTGAACAACTGACCATATTCTGCGAGGATATTATTCTGCATCATAAACTGCCTTTTAAATTTCCCTCTGTTCCAAAAGAAATTTGTCATGAAGGGGAAGGACTTTTCAACAAAAACAAGGACTTAAGATAATCCCTTTCGTTATAGCTTTATTGTCATAGTTCTTTGCATCATGGCTATGATTTGAAGTGATAATGAAACAAACCAGTTTTCCAAAACACAAGAGAATCTTATTGTCCTGAACAGAAATAAGGTTAAGCCAGGAGATAATAAAAAGCTAATGAAATTGACGGGGCCAGCACTCACACAGAAGTGCTCTGAGGGTAGTGGGGTTAATCTAGAACATGTGTAATTGGTTGTGATATGCCCACCTATGTTTCTTCTAGCAAATACTGGTCTCAAACCATAGTTATAAGAGGAAGCAAATTCCACTGTTGCCAAATGGATTTCCAAGAAAATTTAGAACACAGCTCTAAACACAGCTCAGCATGCATTTATTCTCCTTGAAAATTGTATTAAACTATAAATCAATTAACTGGCTGAATAGCTCAGTAAGTTAGGTATCTGGCTGCAGAGCTAGAGGTCGAAATTTCAACTGCACACTATGCCTTCCAAGAGAAGATCCAATATGTGTTGTTGTTGTTTAGTCGTTTAGTCGTGTCCGACTCTTCGTGACCCCATGGACCAGAGCACACCAGGCCCTCCTGTCTTCCACTGCCTCCTGGAGTTGGGTCAAGTCCCAGAGTGCCCCTGAAGAAGTGAACGGTAAACTACTTCTGAATACTCTATACAGTCAGAATTATAAATCAGAGTTGACTTGATGGCATCTTGTTGTTGCTGTTATAAACTAATTATCTGTATTATAAAACCAATGTCATGTTGAACAGAGGGTAAAGATTTTAATTTTGAATTATTATTTGGCTTATTTTCTTATTGATTTGAAATATTTTAAAGCCAACACAAGTCCTAATTAGTTTTCTGTATAAAATTTGGGAGTTAAAAACAGAAAAATCATGATCAGCCTTAGAAACACATTCATATAAGAGTGAGACACATATTTACATAGACTTCTAAGAATTATTGTCCCCTTACCAGATCATGCCTTCAAACAGATTTTGGATGACAAGATGGGATTGAGTTACAGTGATCAGCAAAGTGACATGAGTCCATGCGAACTGTTAACAGTGCAATAACACAACAGTTAGTGACAAACCAATACATCTAAATAAAAATGGTAGTTTAGCAAAAAGAGAGACAAAGACGTTGTAAAAAATGAGAAATGTGCAGAGAAAGTATATCACAATCTGTGTTAATTCTCAAGACGAGACAGTTGGGGAAAGAGATTTCTATTAAATTGCCTACAACGTTAAAATGCATTAATTTAAAAACTTTTTAAATGTATCTCGATGTGAATGAAACAGAAAGAAGATGGGATGCAATGGGGTATTCTGTGTGCCCACGTGAGACATAATTTAAAATTATAACATGGAGATGTTAGCAGCAAAGGTGAAATCATGCCATAAAATTAAGATTTTTTTATCAAAATACATGTTAGTTCCTACATGTTACTGACTAACATTTAAGACTTCACAACTGCAAAGCTCTAAAGAAGAGTTCTTCAATGATAAATACTAACACATTTTCTACAGTGATGCTTTTACAAATAAATAAGCATTTTTAACACAGCCACTATCTGGTAGCGTAATGTTTGGGTCTGACCCATACATGACCTTCCTTGCCACCCCAAAGTGGTTATTCCCAAATTTGCACAGATCATACAAACAATGCATCATGTATAAAAGGTAAATATACTCGTTTTCAGTTTATATGATCATATCAGCATGAACAATATACTTTTTAACACTTCTTAATGCACTGTAATAATTTTCAGTGAAAAGATGACTCAGGGCTAAATCAGTACCATAAGGAATACAGTTTTCAACTGCACCTTCTGAGATTTCATCTTATTTGCTCATCTAAGACAGTTATGAGTAATTTTTACACCCAATGAGGAAGCTGTGCTGCATGAAGGTACCCCCAAACAGCTGTGTTAAATTTCACCCACTGAAAGATGTTAACACAAATAGGCTCACATTTAAATACCAATCTAATTTTCTGTTTTTACCTAGAAAAGTTAATTTTGCTGATTTTCAACAGATAAGAATATCTTATTTTTCAACATACAGTTAGTCTTAAATGATCTTAAACTGGTATTACCGTATTTTTCGCTCCATAAGACGCACCTTTCCATAAGATGCACCAATTTTTTAGGAGAAGAAAACAGGAAAATATATCTGTTTTCTTCGCTCCATAAGACGCACAGACTTTCCACTCCCGTTTTGTGGGGGAAAAGTGCGTCTTATGGTGCGAAAAATACGGTATTTAGCAAAACCGAGGATTACACTTTGGCAAAGTTATTTCCACCACAGGACAAATTAATATTTTTATTAATGGCGTGGGGCAAAGAAATGACACAGATCTACAAGGGTTTCAAAATATATTTCAACATGCCAATAGAGGAAATTATTAATACTGTTGATGATTTTGAGAATATATTTAGCAGCTAAGGGATTGATACAAACCATGTAAAACTGCAGTCGATAATGCCTCTTCACCAGACTCAACACAAACATACAGAAACCTATAAACAGAACACAAGTTTTACAACATTATTCCAGTGTCTAGACTCGTATATTAAAATACCCTTTGGTTTTCAACTGTATCAGTCTTAACTCCACATAATATAGTCCAGATGACTAGACTTTTCCTTACGAATTAAGAATTTGTCCATTATATCTCCTGATTCAACACGCACAGAGTTCAGACATTGGCTGAGGCACAGTCTTCAATATCCAGCCAAACCATGGGTCATGCTGCCAAAAAGCTATTTATTTATGTCTGCACTGACTGGGCTTTTTTTTTCTTATATTTTTGCCCTTCAACACAAATACTGAAGCAATTAATAATCAACATTCAATCTAATGACAGCAGGTCCAACATGAACAACAGACAGAAACCTATACTGTATAATCAGCACTATTACAGTCCAGCAGCTGAAAACGTCTGGTGCCAAATACCTAATGGAACAGAAGTCCTTTCAGAGACAACCTAAAGCAATATATAGAGGAAGCCAAGGAGCATCTTCCAGTAATTGAAAGTATACCTTTGAATGGGAATGTGTTCTGCATTTCTTGCTTCCTGCATCCATGGAACACAACTCCCTATCACAACCTCATCTTCAGATCTCAGAAGGTTTAAATGTAGTGCACTCTGCATCTAGCACAGCATACTCTGCAAACAGATTATTACTCAATGTGTTCCAGTCACTCTGTATGATTAACTTTGTGAAACAGAAGACAGGTAACTCATATATTTCAAGATCTGGGTGAAGTCCAGAGGTGAAGTGACACACAAATGGAAACCAATGCTAGCCCTTAATAAACAGCCAGGTTTGCATAAGTCTCCACTATATCGCCACTCACAGATCTGAATACAATTTCTCAGATAAACCAACACCACTCCTTTCATTAATCTGACCCACATGCAGATTTGGAAAGCAAAGGCACATAAAAAGGCAGATTCTGCAACTGTCTAATAGTGGTGCACATTTCTTTTTCCAGACAGCCAAATCCAGAGAATTTTCTGGAAGAGTTGCAGAAACATATCTGATCTATACCAAGTATTGCCCACTATCAGTCTATCCCCATCTGCTAATTTTTTAAAAATCTCTATGATCCACCAAGGTTCACTATATTTACAAAGCAAGAACACTGATTTCTCAAGTATTACAGCTTAGCAATTCTAATTTATGCTACACATTTTCTCTCACTTGATGACATAAGTTGTTTGCAGAATGAAACTAAGTCCAACTTGGGTACATTTTATTGATAAGGGCATAAATAACAAGCAATAGGAGCTCCCCGGATGTTGGCCAGTGATCTACTAGTGGCCAGGAGTCCACCCCCATTTTACCACACTGGCTGAAATCCTGTTCCAAATGTTACATTGTGTGAGGCTGTGGTGATTTTTGAGGAAATAAGACATTTCTGATTCCTCCCATGCTGAAGTTCTTGAGGCTCTCCATGAATCACATTTATTACAGGAAAGCCATTGGGGCTGCAGGACGGGGGAGAAGTCTTGAATATCCAAAAATCTACACTACCAGTAAAATCATTCCTGCAGCTATTTTCAGAGGTTAAACACCCTCTCCAGCCTGTCCTACAGCCTCTGACAGCTTTCCACAATTCAGGAGATTCTGTGGGACCCGCTGGACCTTCAGAGAAGGAACTGGAAATTCTTTCTTTCTCAAAAACGGCCACATTATGTGGCATAGCTGTATCAACAGGACTTCAGTCAATGTCTGCCACACTACTCTAAGTTTTCAAAAGTTGTCTCATAACAGTGTATTACTCTGGGAATTGAATTCCTCCCAAATCCAATTAAAAGAAGATTTAATTTATTAAAAATGACTTCTAGAAACATCCTGTACTATGTTTCAACATTATCTCACATAGTATACATAGAATAATGATGAGGCCATAAAGCAGGACTTCCAAGATGCCATTAGCAGATTCTCACCATACCCTATGATCTGTGTGTAAGTATAATTTCCAAGGATGGCACATATATTAATTCCGATGAAATGAGCTGCAACTCTGACAACTTTACACCAAATAAAATATGTTAGCCTTTAAAATGCCACAAGATTATTTCCTACACAGTATCAGAAATGTTTGTGTTAATGCTGTAGCAAATCCTTTGATGAAGTCAAGCCTCAAATAACTTCCTCGGAAAGAAACATTAGAATCTGATGTACCTAACATTAGCCAACAAAATACAAGGAGTACTAAGAAGATACAGTAGCTTACCTGCCAGATAAAGTGCAAAAGATATAAATCGGTGATAGCGAATGAGGAACTGAAGTTGTTCTCGTCTCTGAACAAATGTGGCAAAGTAATCTGCTACAGTCTCTCCATAGAAAAAGTAGTTCACACACAGTAAAAAATACCTACAATGTACACAATAGCTACATTACTCTTGTAAACAGGATCCTACAATACCTTTGCAGATGAAAAGATTAAAATCAGACAGCTCATTCCATTCAGTTCTCAGTATTCTGTATTCTTAAACCATAATCAAATGGAATCTTGTTTAAGCAAAAAAAAAAAAAGTAAATTTGTAGCAGGGAGGAGTGGAGTGGATGGAGAAGATTTAAATAGATTTGAAGTGTTCAGTTTCATCCTAGTAGTTGATCAATTCAATGAAACTCACATGTCTTATTAACATTCAGTTTAAGTACAAAATTAATGCAAAATAAATGTCCATTTGCCAGAAACAGGATAATTAAATCCAGCATCTGTCCTTCCTAAAAAGCTACGTTATGAAATGTAACAGGAAATAGCTGTAAAAGAAGGCTAGAATTTGTATATCTTACTTACCAGCTTAATGTTCTAAACCATGGCAAGTCGTAAGAACGATAGACTCGGTAACCTATAGTGATAATTTCATGGAAACACTTTACTTGTATGGTCATGACCTAAAATAAAGGGCAGAGGCAATGAAATTCTTATATTATATATAAGCAAACCAAATACCATCATACATACATATACATA